TTTCAAAAATTTCAAAAAATAAGGACAGGATGATAAAAAGTAAGGACTGAATTAGTCTTCATTATTTATCAATAGTGCATGTGATATTACATGTCTTAGACATATCTAATTCTACAAAGTACATGACCTAACTAACGAAATGCCAATTAAGACTATAAGTTAGTTGTTACATAAACTAGATATATGTTTAAACTAACTTCCAATCATGTGTTTAGCAATTGATCTTTTCGGTTTCATATATTTTTGTAGATTAAATCAATTAAATAGAATTTTACATTGTTGAAGTAAAGAGCGGTGGAGGTCTCATATTTCTAAACATCTTAAAAATTTTCATGTCTTTTGAAGATCACATAAAGCTAGGATATCAGCTTGAGTATAATATCACTAGTATTAAACAGTGATTTTACTCTGATTATTACTGTACTAATTTTGTGTCATTTACTACACTTTGACTTCTTCAAAAATCTAATAATTTCACTTTAAAGAAAACTAAAATAATCGAGTCATGAGAATACACTAAAGTGAGTGTTATACTGTGATTAACAATTACCAAATCAAAGTATAGTTTATCCAAAACCATGCTGAACTATAACGGACTGGTGGGTACTAAATTATATAGAAAGTTAAAATAAATAAAAATATGAAGCATATTAAGATCAGGAGTTTCATTTCCAGTGCTTCGTTTACGCCGATTCAAAATTGCTGCAAAATGAAAAGAAAACACGTCTCTGTAAGTTCGTTGTTGCTCGAACTCCAACTTTTGAAATTAGAATCAGTAAATTTTGAATTTACTGTCAAACAGTACCATTACAATGTACGAGTTAAGAAAAACCAAGAATACTAAACTACGCTTTTTGACCATTTTTAATATAATGTAAATTAATAAACAAAAGCACCTTCAAAGTTAGTTTTTATTGTTGATTAACGTCAAGTAGAAGTAAAGTGTCAAGAGAGAAAAGAACGGTAGCATAACGGTTAATTGCAAGCATCTTCAGTAAATGATAAATGATCATGAATGAACTTGATAAAACGACATAGCTCATTATAATTTGTCTTTTTTTATAGTAAACCTATAACAATTGTAATAAATAAAAGTCAATGAAGTGAAAGTTATGGACAGATTTGATTGAAATCACCAATGTTCTCTGCAAGTTTCTTCAACTACTTATCTTAATAGAACCGTAGTATTTTTAGGGAAGACTCACGAACTCTAAAACCAACTACAATATTTTTAATCAAAGAAGCACATTTAACATGATCATTCAATGTAATATGGATCTTCATGGAATTTATATATACTCTTTAAACCTAATCTTGCATCAAATGATAGAATAACATTGACAAATAACGATATTATCATTAGATAAAACTTATAAATATTAACAATATAATCTACCGATTCAATAGAGTTTTGATTTATCATCTCAATTTCAGACTTGAATTTTCTTCGATCAATGTGCTTTTTGTATTATGTTGATACACTCACTTATTTGGGTGTGATAACGTCGAATCAAGGAATTCAGTCAGCTCGTATCGTGTTCACATTGTTCACCATAGGGATGGTTGGTAGTGGGATTATGCACGTGGTTAGTTGTACGAATGTTTTTTCACTTCTAACTATTAAGCACCACCAAATAATTCTGAGTTTATAGTTAATATGACAAATTAATGTTTTTAATTGGATTTGATGTAGTCACTAAAATATCATGAATATTTATCATTTCATGAAAATTTTTAATATCCATAACATTTTAACTGATATTGTTTAGTGACCTAGTTGAAGTCGTTACTAATAATCTATGCAAGGATATTGTTGTATCGTGAAGGAGGATAATGTCGAAAATTCAAAGTTACCTTTATTTCTTCTTCGGATACAACAGATATAACAGTACCTTACTGAGATAGGTCAATGCATACATCCATCACAAAAAAGTGGCTGGATTTGGCTTCACAATCGTTAAGATTTTTTTAGAACAGATCTCTAACTTACTTGTGAATTGTGAACGACTTCAACTAGTGCGTCTAGAAAATACAGGAACAAAGGTCATATAGCCTTCATTTTGCAAAATCTACAGTATATGGATTTTATTGACTTCAGCCACTCCCTGTTCGTGTCGATACACTTGTACCATTTCGGTCACACTTATTAGAAGCATCCCTAGAACTCTTTAGAAGTAAGGCTGTTCAGCTGCCCCATGGTCACAGTCTATTTTATTCATATCATTACAGTGCAAACACGGAATAGTCATTTTACATATTACGGACGAAATAAGATCTCGAGGAGCTAAGTCTGATGATTAAAGAGAGTCATGAACTTGCGAAAAATTATCACTGAATATGTAGGCCAAGAACCCCCTTGAGGTGTTTGCTGTTTTCTTTGAACCCTTCTCCACTCACTTTAAAGGAGCTTTCTCCATTGATGAGCTTTCTTCAACAGGACTTAAAAGTTGACTTTTTTTCCATCACGTCAATACTGGCGTCACTGGCAAGAGTACGGCGCATATTTCATGACTGTATACAACGAAAATAGTTTATATTAATAATTCCTTTCAGTGAGTTCCTCATGATATTCTATAACTACATGTATAAGTCAAATATAAGAATAAATGTACATCCACAAATGTTGTGATTTGTCACGACTAATGATTTTTTTTGGTAATTAAACCGACTGAAAATATTTTGATTAAGAGGCTGGTTCATATTCAGATAAGTGGTGATAGTATAGGAAATTATATTTTAAGAAATTACGAGGTAGATAATTAGTAAATATACAAGTAAACCATTAACTATAAAGAATATAAGTCAACAGCCACTGGATACGTGACAAATAGTATCACTAGTTCGATACATACATATTAACCTGCTAAAGCATTTGTTTTTGTGACTGTGGATACATAGTTGTGCCGGATTTTTCAATTACGTACTTTGTGTTGAATAAACGATTCGATAATAATTTTCATCTTGGAATGACATCATCTGGTACTTTGCTTATAATAAAATCTAAACATTATGAGATTAAATCTATGTGAGGTTGTAAGTGTTTCATACTTACTAAAAAGTACAAGTCTGGAAAAAAACAGTAATTCGGTAGTAAACAGTTTCAAATTATCAGTCTGACATTATTGTTTAAAAAATGGTTCATAAAACGAATTGTGCTTGAACAAATAAAAGTCATTGATTCATCACCAACATTTCATTAGTTGATCAAAAGGTCCTCTTAGAAATTCATTGTATCACCGAAGGGTAGAATATTCACCTATTTATCACTCAAGGTAGATTTGAAACATCAGCCTCGCTATGGTGTATTAATATTTATACCTTATTGGCTAATTTTTGTTTAATGATATGAAAATTAAGTCTATTCTAAGCCAGACTATAAAATGTTTACTAGGTAACTGAACAGGAATGTCTGGAAGTGTCTACTTACAATATATTTTTCGTATTTTATAGATCTGTTTGCTTAATAATACAAATTTATTGTTATTTTATTGAAAACAGAACTTCTTTTATTTTGTGCTGTCTACATTCCTGTTATCAATGATAGATTGAACATTTGGGAGATTTTTGGTTGAATGAAAATCATCGTGGTACATGGAGTTACTTCGAGTCTTGTTATTTTCTTTTAGTAACATTATCTACTGTTGGTTACGGTGATTATGTAACCCATTCAACATTGGGGAGATTATTTATTTGTATATTTATACCAGTTGCTATGGTTAGTTTTCTATTTTTGATGAATTCTATGGGAGAATAAATTAAGATGTTTTATATGGAAATAGTAATTTGAGGTATTGACTTAAAACAAACAGATTTAAATTATAACTAAACAATTTGAAAAGTCATAGAAGACCTGGATAATCTTTTGAATAGATGGGCTAGTTCATTATTTAATTTCTGTTACTTTAACCATCCATGTGGGTTTTAAAACCTATTAATAAATTAACTGAAATAGATGATAATTAAATTATTTTCATTGAAATCATGAACTAGTCAATATTAAACCATCATTACCAGCACGAAATCACTGGATGGACGTTTCTTCTCAGTATGGGACTCTTCAGAAGTATGCATCCACAATCCTGCACGCAGGGTTCGGACCCAGAACCTTCGGTCTCGCGCGCAAACACTTAACACAGATATTAATGCCGTTGGATGACGGCTCGCTGGTCTCTACCTTCGATCGATGCACGATACTATGTGGTCTCCCTCCTCTATCTTTGGTGGGTAACTACCTCACACCCAACACGATCAAATTCCACTGGTCCAAAGGTCTGGAGGCTTAGAGTTTGCGCTCGGGATCGAAGGTCTTGGGTTCAGTTCCTGTGCACAGGGTCGTGGGTGAGTGCTATCGAGGAGTCCCATACTAGGACCAAACATCCGTCCAGCGATTCCAAGTTTCACTGACGGTCTAACATTGATCGCTTCATAGTTTCAATGAAACTCAGCAATCTCTACAACCCTATACTGATGATTGAATTATTATCAAATAAAGCAGGTCAAATCGTGCTGACTGAAGTCTATAAGTAATCTTAGCACTTACAGCTTCTGAAATTTGTTGGTATGATTTATAAATACTGAATAATATATTCTCATTCTAGACCGTATGTATGATTAATACCTCTCACTACTAGCTATTATAAAAGAAAAGTTTGATGTTAGAATTCTCCTCAAAATAAATAACTAACGTTTCTGAGATAAATATTAGTAGAAATAGGCAAAATTTTGAATCATTTTATTAGTTTATACTCAGAAAATGTAATCCTGATTCGAATTTTCCCGTAAGGTTTGCTTTGATACAATTACAACATTTGTCTTATGAAGCTAGATCAAAGTTAACAAGCACATCAATAGAGCTTTTCACAACTATAACAATGAACTTTATCTTAGACTTGGCCATTTATTGGTTAATCAATTTGAAGATCATAATTTTAGAACCTGAAAAGAATTTATTGTAAAGAATATTCTTCGTTCATAGATCTATATTTTGAAATAGAACGTATTTTAAAATGGTCAAAAATAATAATCAGCTACTCCATTAGTTTAAAACTTTATTAAATCTTCATGAATAACATAAAATATAACTTGTATTCATATTTAGAAATAATTATATTTAACGGAACAGTTTCCATAATTTTCTAGTTCAATGCAAAGAATATGGAACAAAATTGTGTTTAGCTACATTTAATGTTCAGTTGTTGTTGTTTTTTTTAAATATCATACTAAAAAAACTTACGAATTTGATTATGAATGACAATTTGTTGTTAGAATAATATACGAACTAAAAAAAACGTAGCAACGATTTATTTGTTTGGTGGAAATCACCATACATTTTTATTGAGCTTCTATGATAAAATTACTGTCTAGTTCATTTGATTTTACATATATTGGTATCTAAAAAATTGTCTAGACAACGAAACCTGAGTAAGAGAAGTAATAAAAACAATTAAATGTTTAACTTGGTCAACTATTTCATAAGTATACTGACTATTCAAGTAAACACTGTAATTCTAAAATGGGACAGTTGTTTATTAAAATTAAATATGTCCAAAAAAATATTCTGTCTCATGTTTCTGGTTATTCATATGGATTTAAGTCAATTCTCTCTCTCTCTCTCTTTGAACGTGCATTTTTTCAATGTCTATATACACTGAAATAAATACGCCTATGAAGTATTTCACAGATTTACAATCTTACACAATTTTTAGTTCAAAAATAAACTTAGTGAACTCTATTCATTTTCTTGTACAACTTCATAAATATATAAATATCACTTAGTTATCTGTTGTTACAGGAGTCCAGTTGACTTGGTAAAATATAAGGAAGACTAAGATACTTGAACTGATAATTTGCTGACCATACTTAACAAAATTCAAATGACACAACTATATATATTTGTTACTCAGAGGATAAAAACAATAAATTGTAATCGAAAGTTGAACAAACAAATTTGGATTTATCATTTCAAAAATATTGTCTTCCTTTCTCATTAATAATAAATAAGTAGTGTGAATTCAGTGTAAATTTTTATATGGACACAAAAGAGACAAAGAACCAAAGTGTTAACCATAAGTAGTTAAAATTATATCAGAAAGTGGATAAACTCATTGTTTCCAACATGTATTATCAATGAAATATGTTGAATATTTTCAAGTGATAAATGCTTTCTTTTATTTTTATTACTTTCATTGAAATTTAAGGGTGTTTCTGCAAGTTTTGTACCAGAGTTATTTCGTAATTTCAATAATAACTATACTAATTCTTCGGATCGATATGAACCGATTTCAGGTGAACGGTAAGTACATGAAGACATGTTTTATTTAACAGAAGTAGTTTTCAAAGTTATAAGGTTTTTATTTTAACTTTGAGTGGTAAATCAGTAGGTTAGATTTTTCACTTAGTTATAAGTTATCAAACAACACAATCGAATATATTTTTATCTTGCTGTTAGCAATTAAGATTTTTTTATGCTAAACATCTTCCAGTTGGAGTATTATTTCGTTATTTGACACCTTACAAGTACTGTTTTACATCTTACCTAAAAAGATACTCCTTTGGGGATAAAACAACTTAATCTTAACGATTAAGCAATAAACAAAAGCCTACTGATAAATTTATCTGTGAGTAAAACACGATGCGTTAATTTCTAAGTATTACTAGTGAAGATGACCCTTATTTTAATAAACGCTCTGTCTGTTTCATAAACATTACACACTTATAAAAGAATCGATAACGGTAATGGAGTTTCCATTTAACCTACAATACTTCCTAATTAAGAAATAATTGAGCTGTCCTAGTGCTAGATAACAGCAACTGGCACACAACACTTGAAAAACTAGAAAACATAGTAATTAAGCTGAACAATTCGAATTGGCATATATGATAACGAAGGAATGACCTTGAAACACACAAAATTGGCGAATAAAAAGTAGTGACACCCAATCGGAAACGGGTAAAGGTTATGCAAAAAATCGAATTTGAAGAAATGAATTCGCCATTATTATTAATGAGACTCTAACATTGTTAACAAAAAGTGAGTATTCCCATTATTGCCATAGCAGTAAGCCATGAAAATTTGACCACAATTTGATGGGTAACATTAAATATTAGATATAATTGTTCTACGTATACATACCAAGTTTTTAATATCAGGATGTACATATATTCCTTTGTGGCTTCTCTTTCAAACTAGGAGTGATTTTAATTACAGATAAGTACCATTTAGCAAACCATTAAAGACCACAAACTACAAGTCAGTTGTTTTGTCCTACTTTACGAGTCATGAATTATTATGACTTCATAATGCATCAAGACCTTTAGGTTTCAAAGTGAGCAGAATACATTTAGGCGACTAAGCGAAAATCAGAGAACCAAATCATGAACTAACTACAGTTGGATATTAAGATTGGTTGATCATCATTCTCTGTCATCCAGCCATCAATCTCTAATTTGCTGAGCAATTGATTTATCAAAAATCGGGTAAGTGAAATTCATTCCTAAGTTAGTCACTAGTAATATCACGAGACTTAATTTTGGATTACAGTATTTCGAGATTTTTCTTTTATATTCTACAGACATGTTATCGTTTGTGGAAATTTCGATAACGAAAGTATACGAGCTTTTATCAAAGGTTTTCTTTATGGATGTCAAGCCAAAGGACGTATGAGAATAAACATGGTACTTTTGAGACCGTAAGTGTGCATAGTTTTTTTATTCATATAAATATTCCGCTAGAAATCAATTACTTTTGTAAAAGTTTCTGACTTGTTTAGTAATTTAATTTTGTGACAAGGCTTAAAACTATAACCACAGACTTACATAGTTTCATACTGTCTTTCATAAGCTTTTCGAAAATTTACACAACTAAAAATTCTTCAAGGAGAGATTATAATGAAAATCAATCTATATCAGGTGTACTTAATCAAAAACAGTTATTCAAATATCGGATAATTGTATTGAATAATTTATTATTCATTATGAAGTAGTAATTATTTCTTCTTGAGCTTCCGGACAGTGCAGTACTGGTTATGTAAATGTTTTCAGTAAAAATAGGATAGAATATGAATTCAAAGAATGACTTTACATAATATCTACATATTTGGCAGTTCTAAACATACAAAAAAGCTAATAAAATAGTTTTCGTCAATGAGATTTGCAGCCTCACTTTTGTTTGACTCGATTGGTTATTGCTTTACAATATCTTTTACTGTCTAGATTTACACTAAGAAGCCAACGAGTTGAATAATTTTGGTTTCAATGGCTAAAGTTTACATTCTTTGCAGAACATTAATCGTTGAGCCTATATATATGACGACATAAATATGACGCGATCGCATCACGTGTTACAACATTATTTCAGATGTCACAAAGAAAATAAGTTATATGTCGTTACGAGTATGCAAAATGTAAGATGACGTTTCACGTGAGTAAGCTTTCTAAAGTGCAGTTTGATAATGAATGCTACATTGATTTGGAGACATGCAAATTAGACAATTCATAGACTGCTCACAGTTGTATCTCTTGAAACAGGTACCAAGCATCACTATTTGTTAAGACTTAATAGATGATAGTTGTAAACGTCATTTTATTAACTACAAACCTAACTCCCCATTGGTCAACCTGTATGAGACATTATTGTGTTGAATCGCACTACGAATTCATTGACTGAATTGATTATTATCAAACGGACCTAGAATTATGCTCTGAACATATATGTTATTACGAAAATGCTAACCATGATTTTTGGGATAGTGTTTTGCATTCGAAGATTTTATTATGAAGAATAATATTTTCAAACTATTTACTTTTAAAAATTAAAAAGGATACCATTGGATTATGCACTGAAAGCAATTCTTAGTCCATATCATGCATGGGTTCGATATTTTGTTGGTACACCAAATAATCCACACGATTTAGCCAGAACTAAATTAAAAGAAGCACGAGCAGCATTCATATTAGCCACACCAAATACAAAATTCCGTGATGATGAAGACAGCGCAAATATAATGCAAGCAATTGCAATAAAGGCTAGAAAAAAGAATTTACGCGTTATTTTGCAATTGCATTATTTTAGAAATAAGGTGAGTTTCCGAGATTTTTTTCTGCAACGTTATGGAAATTTGCGAACACTTTGATTTCTATTTAAAGATAATAAAGTGGTTGACTGCGTAAAATGACAAATCCGGTCCAAATATTCATAGTTCTTTACAGATATACAATTAGTATATTTGTATCTATATGTTAGATTGGCAGATTCCTGAAAATTGGTTCTGTTCTTTGATTCGACTTTGATTAGTTTTATGAACTTGAAGCTTTTTCACTATTTGATAGTTTAAATATTCATTACATATGAATGTTGTATACAAATATTTCGAAATAGTAAAAATATGAACAAATTATTACCAATCACTCTTGAGAGGATCCTTTGATAAGCCTGAAATACGGTCATATCACAGTCATTAACAATTGTCGTATTCATTATTGAAATTTTCCGAACACTTTAAACTAAACAAGTATGGAGCCCGATTTTGTCACATTTGAACAGCAGTAGCCACGTAATGTATAAATCTAGGATATTTAATAACACAGTTTATTCTATCATAGTATTTGAACAGGATTCAATATTGTCGTTTACATACGAGGAATCTACAGAAATTAAATTAAATGATTCTCATGATCACAAATCATCACAACATATTTCAAGATTCTTGTTCCTTTACACTTTTCAAATCTCGGTAATGCTGGTGAAATTCTTACAAGACTATAAACCTATTTTAACAGCAATTCATTATTACTACTATTATTATTTATTTATTACTATTATTACTTAAAATCTATGAAGTGCTGCAAATTTTGTTTTTTGTAAGTCATATATCATTTCGTATGTTTTTGTTTATTTATTTCTAGTGTTTAATGAATAATTTTCCACGTTGGACATATTTAGCCAACGATATGGTAGTTTGTATGGAAGAACTAAAATTAGGTTTAATGGCGTACAATTGTCTAGCACCGGGTTTCTCAACGTTGATTGTAAATCTTTTAAATGCACATGGAAGTAAACCAAGAATATTTGAAGTAATATACTTTTTGAAATTTATATGAAATTAACTATTCAGTCGTTTCACAATCATGTTGTGTAAAATGTTAATTATTTGAAAAACTAAATCTTGAAAGTCAAATATTTATCATTTTCTATTAGAAATGACTATCAAAGTACACACTTAGTGGCAAGCATTTCAAAAACATGAAATCCATATTTAGTGGTTGAAGATAAACGATAGAAAGTGCATTAAACTTAAAATCCCACTCACATAAAAAATAATGCAATTGTTACATAATATGGTAGTTGCAGCGCAGCTTGATCGACAGAATTAAAACTCCACTGAGAACTAAACAACTTAAGCATTACATACCATTAAACGACAAATTAGCGTATAAATGAATCATTAATTTGCGTGAGAAACAACCGTTCACTGACATATCATAAAAAAACCTAACTGGTATCAATAAAACATCCTCACCACTAGTTATTCTTTAAACTGAACGCACATCATAACATTTGTACTTGCAGCTAAAGATACAACTCTCAACAGTGATGGATATAATCGCACCATAAACTTGCTAATTAGTTAGTTACTTAACGATTAAACGGATTTTACTGAATATGCTCAGTGGATAGTAACTTAATTAGGGAAACAGTGAATAGATTGGTAACAATTAACAGCTGGTGCTCACACCTGATACACCCTTGTGCTATTTATATACTCATGGTAAATTTTGCAGTTTTATTTTTATTCTCCGGTTTGGAGATCAAAATTTTATTGGAATTCCCTAATATTTAGTGTTGTTGCTGTGATAGTACTATATTTTGAAAATTTACTCATCGGAATTTTGGGATTGTCATGTTACGTTCTTTGTTCGAAATCCATGCTTAGTTTATGCACTTAACTGAAGTTTTATTGACTAGACAATTTTTTTAGGTTATCAAACCACTTATGGGAAAAAAAGCTATATTTTAAAGACAACAGTGCTTCAATGTCAATTTGTTTATACTGTTCACCTACTTTTTATACTTCGGCCTGTTTTAGTACGAACGTTGGAGGATAGAATATGAGTATGGATTTCGAATGCAACTACATGATGTTGGCATTAGTCATGAATTTTCAAACCTATTTATTAGAGATTTAGCTATGTAAGTTTACATTTAGATTTCTATAATCGATTTGTTTCCTTATATCAACCTAGGCAGTGGGCATCACCAATCTACTGAAAGTAACACTCACCAATATATAATATCTGTTAGTATATTATAATGACTCACGGAGATTAGTGTTCATGGCTGAAAAGCGACAGTCCAAACGAAGACTACCTACAAATTACAAAGCATTTATATATCACGTATACATAACCTTCAATCTTTCATTTGCATCTTGCGGTGTGTTCTATAATCCGAAATATCTTTACAACTGGTCATCATGTGTTCTGCCTGCGCCATGATTTCGATGTATTGAAACTATTCTCTTCGTCTGACGACTGTGACAAGTTCAGCGCCACGTTTTGCTACGTACTACTTACAAACAATCTTGTGAGTTGAGTCCACCACAATGGTAGAGTAAGAAATAATAACTCAGTTACAAGAAAGGTGAAAATAAACCGTACGATTTGTGGGTTAGAAATTTGAATCACTTCACAGCTTAATACCCACTCAAGTTAACTAAGTATAACTTAATAACCAAAATTACATTCGTGAAAGTGCTATTGTACATCATTTGTCATTGATGATGTTGTGATCATTTCGATGCTGCATAGGAAAACAAATAAATTATTGTTCATAACTCATAAATGTTCGAATATTTATAGAATATACAAGTGAATTTGTGCGTGTCGAACTTTTTGGCTATTAAGGGATTTTGATGTAGACATGTTTATTTTCGGCACTACTCCAAAAGCAAAAACCGTTTAATGTGCGAATGAACGTTTTATGCAACAAAATAATGAAATAGCGGTGGTTAGCCAACGAAAATAAAAGCCCAAAACAACCACTTAGTATCAAGTGAATTTGAATGATACATTAAACTATAAAATACAAAAATACAATTTAATCACATGAAGAATATAACATGTTCAAGTAGATTTGTTCTTCCAAAGATCACCTGTTCTTAAACGTCTTAATTTGCCCATTCAACGCTATTCAGGTTTTCTTTATTTCACAAAAATAATTGTATGTTTGATAATTAAGATTGACCAAAGCCTATTGATTTGAACAGGTTACTTTGAAGCAAGCATCCCTTAGCCTTTATTTCATCTTAATAAAAAAGATATCAAGATATTTCCATTTCCCTCATAGTGTTTTGTAGTGTTCAAAAATCAAAACAATTGTGCGTCTAGATGCAGAATCATAAGATTGGTTATGCATACCTGATGACTCAGTTGTTAACTAATTTCGTTTACTTAAACATATTAGAACGGATGAACTCAGATTAATATAAAAAAGTTCCGTACTAAGTTTATTTATTCAAGTTAAAGTCTTTTTAGTTTCAACAGTATATTTATAGTGCGACCAGTCTAAAATGTGAAAAACCATAAAAATACTACGAGCTAGAATGAATAATAAAGTTATAATGCTCACAACTGGATTAAATCCAATAGTTGGTTAGAATTGAGTTCACCCCAAGGTCCGAAGGTCTTAGTTTCTATCTCATGTGAAGTTATAAGTGTACAATGATGGCGAGCATTAAACTAGGTTGAAATACCTGTCCAGTTGTTTATTGTTTTTGTTGGTTTTCTCGACGACATCAGTTTTTAATGAAAACTACTTCCGAAATGAACACATTTTCACAAACCAACAAAATTAGGGACCTTAAATTTCAGTTTACTGGTTGTTTTGTGATGTATGAGATAGATTTGTATGACTTTGTGGAAAACAAAATTCACTGCTTTATCAAATACTCTTTTCCAGACCCATATGTACTGCTTTTTTAAAATTTCCATACATCTCATAAAGCAAAATTATTTTGTTAAGTGTATTGTGAATGGTAGTTACGTGACAAGACAGTTTTTGTCTTTATTCCACATCATTTGAAGATTCATTGAAAACTAGGGAGCGCTAAACACCTATTTCGCCTTGGTTTTCTGTTATGAAATCAATCTATATGACCATTTATGAGGTATTTCTCCTTTTTCTTATAGTCTTTCGTTCTCGCTCCCTCTCTCTATCTACCCTTCTATGTTTCAGTTTTGTTTATGAAAAGTGGAATCTTATTCTACTAGCCATACGTATCAATGGGCTAGAAAAATCTTCAATGCTTATAAATCCAATTGAAGTAAACTGTCCAGTGAATAATAATTCAATGCGCGCTATAGTTATATCTAGTGATTATAGTTCTGCTTTAAAGTAGGTGATTTACTTTGGTCTTTTATAATTTTAATGAAGTAACAACCATGTTTAGAGTTATACGATCATATAATCAAGTACCTAGATTGCTTGCCGTGAATGATCATTTTTCAAAACTTATCACCTGTGTTTATATAATAAATTAATGTTAGAAGTTTGACCAGATCATAGTTAACGTCTAGAAATTTAAAATGTACAAAGGGTTTTGTATATTAATGATCGTTATTCCTCAGATAAACGGCAGAATTCGTGACAAGATTTTAACTATTTATCCAGTTGAATGTGAAAGTATGAGCACCTTTTAAAAATAAGGTAGCAGTATTATAGAATAATGGAACAGAAATTCACAAAACCAAAATATAAAAAGCATTGTTTACACTGTAAAAGTTGTAGTCAAATGGAAGTCACTTTTTTCAAATAACTGAACAATATCAATGTTAATTGAAGTAGTAAGTTGGCATGCAGATCATAATTGCATCAAGTTTCAGTATTGTTAGAAGTTAAAAAAAAGTAAATTTTGTGCTAGTATTTTTTAAGTAAATAACTCAACCAAATCAAATAGTTTCAAAATGCAACGATCACAACCACGCTAAAATATGAGAAGTAGAAATGTCACTAAACACAAAACGTAGGCTCAGTCAATAAATCAAGTTAAAAGCATGAAGGATTGTGGTGAAAAAATACAGTGATAACACCTGTTATGAGTCATAGAAATAACATCTAGACCATTAACAGCAAATAGTGTAGCGTAAAACACAGAGCCTAACAAAAAAGATCCATCGAAAGATAACAGTCTAGGTACATATATACTCATCTCTAACTAGTCTTAACGATAATGACTATTCACTAGAACTCCATGAAATGCATCTTGAAGTCAGTCACTAGTGAGCAGATGATTATTATTATTAGAAGGGGTTTTGTGGAGATTTTTTTAGAAGTTTCAATAGTTGAAATCATGGGTCAATTGAAGCTAGACCATCATGGAAAACCTGGAAGCACTGGGTGGCCGTTTCGTCTCAGCATGAGACCCCTCAGCAGTGCGTATCCACAGTCCCGCCTCCCGCGAGATTCGAACCCAGGACCTATCAACCTTGCGTGCGAGCGCTTAACCATTAGACCACTGAGCCGGCATCCAACGGTGTTAATGTTTAACTTCAACCAATCGGCGAAATTGCGCTGCCGCACACCACTGTCTTCAGTGAGCTGATATCTCACAACAGACCTGGTTGAACCCTACTGGTAACGGCTGAGGAGTCCCATGCTGGGACGAAACGGCCGTCCAGTGCTTCCAGGTTTTCCGTGGTGATTTAGCTTCAATTGACTCATGGTCTCAACTAGTGAACTTTAAAAATTCCCCTCAAAACCCCTTCTCATGATAATGACTATGACTAGTCAATTAGACTATTTAAAACATTACAGTCTAGGCTATCAACATTTCGCACGGATACTTCAGCAAGCAGAGTTTAGCTGCAGATTCATTTTATTTTATTTCCGGAAATCAGAATTGGAGGGTTATTGTATAATTGTTTTTCAACCTCTATATAAATTTATCCTCGTTAATTTTGTAAATCGACTACTCCAGGTTTCAGTAACATTAATGATTAGTCAAGTATAAGTCTAACATTATTTATTCGAGATATTAGCTTTATGGATCGAAAAAGTATATTCTATAAAGAAATTTTTGGCATTCTTATAATATATAACTAGCAAACAGAAAACCAGTCGGTCAGTCGAATGGGACGTAGAACCTGGGACATACGTGCACCGATTTAATTCCCCGCTCCAAATTAACACGATGAGAAGAGATCATCATCGTCAATTCCAGAACGGTTGAAGTAGAAACAGTATCGGTGTAGAGAAGACTAGATATACAAGATATGATTTGTGAAGTAGAAAAGACCATTAGATAATTTTGAGACTTAGGATCTGAAAGAAGATAAAGTAGGAATGATTCTGATGTATTTCACCCAACGTTTCTAAACATTGGTTACAATAATCACGCTGGTCCAAAACACATAGTCTGCACTTATATTCATACCTTAGCCCGATTTTCATGGGATTATGAACTGATGTTTCATAGTGGTTTGTCCACCCCTGACTTTATTCCAGCTTATTAATACATTAAATAACATCGCCCGTCGCGGTAGTTGGGTATAGGTAATACATGTCCCAACCGCCTCAGTTGAGTGAAATTCACTACTATACCAGCCTATTTATTATCTCTACCTATTACCCTATTCCAGCCTTAAGATTGCTCACTTCCACTTAATACCGAGTTACTTAACCAAAACTCAAGCAATTTTGCCTGAAGGCAATCGGTTTGTTGAAGCTTTCTAAAGTCAACAGATAGTTTTAATGTTTTTTTCTTATCCTCATCCTTTTATAAAATCCATGAGAGTTTCATTTCATTTCTCTGGTATGGGTTTTCTTAATAGGAAAGTTATTATTATTTATCTTCAGTTATTAAAATTGATTCATATTTGAATTGCATAATTTGAATGTAATCTTTCTTAAAGTATTTACCAATTCTATGCTATTTTTTCAAATGTCAATAAGCTTGCAGTATTATTGCATAACATGCGAAGGACATCTAATTGGTCAACCATGCAGATGTAGTCGTCCTGTGTTAGAAAAAAGAAGAAAAATAACAATTGCTAGAGGTGAGTTAGATATGTCTTTGTCAAAGATTAATAAACAGAAATTTCAAAGACAAATAGATGTTTTACTTTAGAAAACTGATAGCTTTAGTGAGATTATAATGTTCAGCTAATTATCTCCATACTACTGAGGAGTTAAATGTTGACTTTTATATAGTCTGTTGGACTGTCAGCAACTATTCACAGAAAGAAAACATCCAGTTTTTATGAAATGAAAACTTTCATGAGCTATCCAAGATGTCTTTGAATAATTAGGACGTAAGACCTTCTATTAAAAAAATATTGAAATCGATAGGTCTTTTGAGACAAATAATAGTATTATTCATCATTGTTAGTGGGGGTTATTATTTGTCCGTTTTCGACATTCAAGACCACATAAGATCATTCTATGCTACCACATGGACATGGTTACTGGTTTTGAGTCTGTGGAAATTTAAACTGAGATACACAAATCAAGTAGATGAGTCCTGGATGGGACAAATAGTATGTTCTAATTCCCCTCACTAACCACCATTTGAAATATAATATTGTTAATTTTCCCTTCAAACTGGATAGTTTTTTTTATACCACAACAATTTATTCTCGCTTCTCCCTATTTTACCTAAGAAAGCTGATTTGAAACATGGAACTTTTTATAATAAATAAAGAAAGCAGGCAATGAAATATAAGGTATTAGTTTTTATTGCTTACAATTTTAGGTCATTAACTGTTTTATCGCTATTAGTAGAAAATATATGTAACAGTACATTACACCGAAACAAATACAATCCTTCAGTTTCAATAGTCGTCCCTCTGGCTCTTCCTCAAGTGCATAATCAATGATTCTTGAGTATGTTGGAAACTAAGGCATCTTCCAGCAACAGTAAGATATTGTCAAACTCTGGGACATTCAAGATAAGACACGTAAACTAAATTACTTCTCTTCAAGTTTTTAGGAACTTTATTGACTGACAAAATGATGTCATTGACCTCAAAAATAGGAGAAAGCTATGAATTGTTTTTTAAGCTGAACGTGGCCGGGAACTAGTGGATGTCAAAACAGAAGTGTTAGAAGTTACGTTTTGGTTCGCACAAACCTAGAAAATCAAACATGTTTTCTTCTTCAGCCCAATTTGGTGTACAAAAATGTACTTCAAAATTTCATTTTTGAACAATCCACATATATCATGATAATTATTGTAGTGAATTACCTAGTATTGTCAGGATAAGCTTAAAGACGTGAACGGAAAGCATCAGTCAAAAGGCATTGGGTAATATAAAAACAATGATCTTAAAGTGACAAAGTTATTTTAAGTATACAGTAAAAAAATACTGGTATCATGAGACTAAAAGTTTAAAATTCATCGAACAGGAACTGACATATCTCATTGTAAGTCATTATCAGTCAAAAAGCTGTGAACACATCCCATCGTCTGTTGTAAATAGCTGTCTCATACCCAACATGGTTGAACTCTACTTGCCACAGCTTCTCACTAGAACTTCTAGAATCGCATCTGAATGTCATCTACAGCAGCAAGTAGAACGTGGTCATATAATATCAGGGATTGATTGATTGAAATTACACTTGTACACCATCCCAACCCAGTAGTATAAAGCTTATGCATTCACCGCGAAACCATTGGTCTTCGGTTTTATCTCACATTCTAGGAACTTGAGTGTGCACTGGAGACTCTCAAACCAGAACAAAACAGCGGTCCAAAGCTTTCTGGTTTTCAATGGTTTTCTACCTAAGATCAGTCCGTGATGTGAACCATGGTTTATATTTACTGGTTCAATTAGTTTGTAATAAGTAATCTGTCATTTGATATTGTATGGTTTATTATGTTGATAAAACAACTACTTAACTTTCAAAGTTATTGCTTCTTTGCATTACTTTTTCACAGGAAATTGTTTGAACTATTGACCTATTCTATCTTATTTTAGACTTAGCACTATATGAGCAAATTGGGAAAGCCAGAGAAAATGCTGTTAAAGCGTAAGCCTATTTAAATTAATCTGTATGTAAATATAGAACAATACAGGCATTTGTCCCGATAAAAATAGCTATAAATACATTTTCATAAACTAATAATCCAGTTTAATACTGACCAGTTTAAAATCGTTACTTGCTATAAAGTGGATTATACTAATAAAACAATCTCAAAACAAATAAATCCATTGTATCAAAAATCTTTGAACTAATACTACCTTTCTCGTAGTATACAATGTTATCTCCTGTGAAGATACAAAATAATTAAAAATAACTGTTGACTAGAATTGCATAATTCAGTAAGAGAATGAAATAGAACCTTCGTTTTACTGAATTATTAAGTTTATCATTTAAGAATATTATTCATATGAGCTTTGTGCCTAACTAACACCAATAATTCTTGTTCACTTATTTATTTTATGAGTTCTATTTATAATGAAAATAAAGAAGTCATTATTCTGTTCATTAAGATAACTGTGTTCATCAATTAGCATTGAAAACAATCCTTTATTTTTAACGATCAAGAGGTATACATTATGAAAGATCAATTATTAACATCGATAAAATACTTTTTAAGTGGCAATGAGAAGTACTAGTAAGAGGAAAGGAAAGACGATAATTTCGAATAACCTGATCACTTAAAAAAAGAAGAAAAAAACCTCATCCAGATGGTTAGTTAAATCTAAGTAACGATTTGTGCTCTAACAGATACTAACTTTTTTTAAGTAGATAAAATGCATTCATGATGGAGATTTAAAACTAAAATTGTAGTGAAGGAGAACACAAGTGAGAGCAACCGAATTATATTTAGCACAACATTACAGAGTTACTTGGTAAAATAGAAAAACCATACTATAATACCTAATTTGCAAAATGTTCAATAATTGTCTCGTACTTCGTTGTTCTTGCATTTCTATACTAATTGCTTTCTATTCCCGTTCTTCCTTTCTTGATCTTCCCAATTTTCTGCTGCCAGACATTATATTCCTGACTCGCGTTATATACTACATATGACAATATAAGTAGCACGCACTACAACATGACTACTATAATTATGCAATGTACCATAATAAATATCAAAGTATAGAATACTGGTGAAAACCACAGTATTGCTAGTCAATATTTCAACATAATAAAAGAAAGTGTATAGAATAGTGTGACTTCATATACATTTAAACTTAGAAGAGTCTAGTAAAGCATACATTAGAGATGATATCCTGCAGTAAAGATCAGCTGCTATAACGATATATCCGAATGAGTAATTGTTGAAAGGAACTACTTACCAGTCTTATTATTTGTCAGAGTATATGATGCTGTTTGTTTAATTTGCAAATAATAAAATGGATGGAGGAACCATCAATTATGTAGCCCAAATTCAAAACGTCATTTAAATAACTTTAACCATTTACTACTAAACATTTGTTATCATTCATAATAAATTGCGCACAATATTTTAATGGCTGCATAATTCAATGAATTTTTTATCAAATAACTTTACATGAAATATTATATTGATAAAGATAGTATATATGCATGTTTACATTTTAATATATCTATTCTTTCATTTATAGTGAAACATGGTCATATGATACTAGATCTACACACTTTTTTCGTCATTCATTTACTACAACATCACCAAATTTATTACATGATACAAGAAATTTACTATTTGATCAACCTCGTGGGCGAAGTGAAACAAGAAAAATGGATTCAAATTCAAGAAATTTAGCACTTCCAAATAATATTCCAGCAAGGTGTATGAATTATTCTCCAATACGAACTCCATCACATTCATCACAAGTAGATCGTACTGGATCATTTCATTGGGTACCAGATATCCCACTTACAAGGGCCACGTTGGTAAGTGTTCGTGTATACAATACTAGGTTTACTGATTATTGAGTAGGATGATACTAAGGTTCTATAGAAGATTCATGATTAGAAAATGACTTGTTGTTTCCGGTCGTATCTTCGGATACACTAACCATCGACTGAATTTAATTATTGTTCTATCCAATATAAAATATCTAAATTAAGTTAAAATTATATATTCGAATAGTTAGAAAATCTGGTAAATTGCTGTTTTACGAAATCAGTTCAAGTAACTTTTGTTGGATGGCTAATCCAAAACTTGTGCTACGATTTTACGTTTTATTTCATACTACTAATCGTTTTTAGTGGTATAATTAAGATATGATTTCTAAAAAGATTACTGAATTTCATAATAAAATCCAACATAATGATGTTTTATTCAAACAGTCAGTGCTAGTGTTATTTTGTGAGAATAAAGTGAAACATACTATATCAAATAAATGCAAATGTTTTGATAGTATGGTCAGTACAACCGACTTCCAGATTGCACTGGTTTCTTCTGTTTGGTACGACAAGTTTTTTAATCGTATCGGCTTAGATTTTATTTACACTAATTTCGGATAACTTTGCTATTTTTATCTGTTAAAGAGCCCAAATCAAGCAGCAAGTCTGAATTTTAACAGACATTTCCTTGTATGTGTTGCTGGAAAATCAACAAACGGTCCTCTTAATCTGGAGAATTTCATCATGCCACTACGATTCCATTGGCAGCGTGTTCGAGATATCGTAATCCTAGGAGATAGTCATTTAATTGGGCCGTTGGAATGGGTTAAATTAAAAAATCTTCCAAGAATATTTATTGTCGATGTAAGTTGATCATGAAAATATCTTCCATAGCTATAAGATTTAGGTCATTAAAAATATTGTGAGATTTTATTCAAGAAGTTGTCACTACCTGTGTTATTCCATTATCAAAAACGACACTACACAAATTCTAAACAAAAAGTATGCTCTAGTTTTTGAATAATCAAGAATAATTGTAGTATAGTAAAGAATACCTCTAACTTACAAACTCAAAAAACATTTCGGAATTCCATATATATTATAATTCATATTCCAGTACGATGAAATACTCTATTACTTTGTTACAGGTGACGAGACAAAATGACCTAGTTTCTTACAAATATTTTTATAATTCGATCATGTACTACAATCATGAACTTAGTAGAATTATTTTTACAGTATTTAAATCATTATATTTTAAGAATATAATTTTCCCTGTAAGCTTCTTTTTTATAATTTACAATCATAAGAAAAATTTGAAAGGAAAAACAATTCATTAGAAGTATCTAGGCATGTTTATGGTTGGTTGGTACCTTCTAATTAAATACAGAATACTAATTACAGTCGAATAAATCCTATCTAGTTAATGTATTCAACGTAAACAAGGCGTTATGCAAATTTCTGAATGAAAATTAAGTGATTTGCCGTAATAAGAAACAACCTGTTTAAAAAACAGAAATAACAACTGATATTTGAGTCAACTACATTAACTCAGATAATGCAAGTAACACAATTGATACGAATTGTCCATGCAATGAAAATTCCTCCACAGGATAAAAAGCTGCTTATCATTTTGCTTGCTGCAAATTATTCAAAAGACAAATCTTACGCTGAAGACTTATTGAGAAAGATAAAAAAATATCTCATTTTGCAAGAAACTATTGTATAGAGATACATTGACAATGTCCCTGAAAATATGGCGGCAAAATAGCATTCTAAAATGAAAACGGACTAGTAAGTAGAAATTTTCTTTAACCGAGGTAATAATAGCCTCACGCAGGTGAAATTTCAACTCTAGAAAAGGAGAAATTCAAATTTAAAGACAAAAAGTAGCAAAATAGCGAGTAGGTGGTTCTTGTGGGGATTTAAACACTCCCAACGATAGTGAAACAGAAGCTTTAGTTTGACTGCAGGTATACATTGTCAGATCAAAAAGTATCAAGAAAAAATTTACTCAATCGAATGCCTCGAGGTAGTCTAGTAAGGATGTACACATGCCAATAGAGACTGACAAGTTACAGTTCTTAACACCAAGTACGAGAAAATGCAGACCCTTACAATTAAATTCTAAATGAAATCAATATTGTTTGAATACAAATTGGGTCTCACTGAATACATTTGTGGCTATTTCATTCTCACTAAATTATGGTAAAATTCTCATGTGACAGAATTTAGTGTTTATCAGTAGACTTTCCATTTGTCCTAGATTTGAAATCTTGTTACATCCAACATTAATTATTAAGCTAGATGTCATTTACTTTCACAAAACATAGGTTTGGTTATTTCTTATTATTCATGTAGTGATACTCATCTAGAGCTAAGTTTTATATGTTATATTCATATTCTATTTATCACGAATGTACATGAGCGAAAACTGATTTGGCGCGAAAGTTTATGTGTTAACAGTTTCAACTCACAAACAACATTCACAAATTGAACAAAAAACAAGAGTAAATCAGTCAGTTTATTTGGTTAACTTGACAATTTTATGTATTGAGTAGTATCATAAATCTGCAAGGATTGGTTTGAATCAATAAATATGAAAACACTTGACCAGCCTAACGCGATGTTAAATTTATAAAGGATTCTAAAGTTTAGTCAGTTAGCAGCGAGTAGTTATTAATTGTCATCTGTTCGATAGCGTACTTTTCATTCTCTTGCAAATCAAACAGTATAGCTATTTGTTTTCTTGTCAGATTGTATGGACAGGTGTTGCTTAGTTAACTAAAAGTAAAAAAGTACTGTTTTATTTAGTACCTTTAAATAACCTCTCAGTGAGTTTTGGAGAAACAAGTTAAACAGAACAAAATACTAACCCGCAAATTGACAAGATTCTTGTTTCATAAACATGACTAGTTTATCAGAATATATTTTAAAAGCTTATTACGTCTTATCGGGAAGAAATTTTTACGAGTGATCTCATTGACAGTCAAGTTGATATAAACAAATGAAAGAAAAAGAAACGGATGAAAAATATATCTAATTTTATTGAAATCACGAACCGATCTAAGTTACACCGCCATTAGAAACCTAGGACTCGTGTGGGACTCCTTAGCAGTTCACACTCTCGACCCCAATGTTCTGTAGGTAAAGCGTTCGTGAGCAAGACCAAAGGTCCTGGGATTGATTCCCACCTGGGGAGTCGTGGATGAGCACTGGTGGGGAGTCCTATATTAGGATGAAACAGCCTTCCAGGTTTTTAATGGTGGTCAAACTCAGATCGGTTCATGATTTCAATGAAAGTCAACAACTTCCACAACCCCATACTGACGGATATAACTAATGTTACTCACCAAAGTTTTATTAATCTTAAAAACGGGTAATTTTTCAAGCTCAAAATACTCACTTTTGTTTTTTTATTTTACCACAGGGTGATCCATGCAGTTTTAATGATCTACACTCAGTACATTTATGTCAATGTAATGCTTGTGTAGTGCTTGGTTACAGCGCGGAAGAGCCTCATTCACAATGTGTTGATCCAAGTCTTCAAGACAGAGTGACATTATTGTGTGCAATGAATATTCGATCATTATTGCAAAAAGAACAACATTTGGTTCATTTAACAACAGAATTACGTATGTCTATTAGATTCATTTAAAATATGACAAAAGTATGCAAATTGATCCACATAATTCCTTAGCTGCTAAAAGAAACTTAAAATGTCTTTACTAATTATAATTCCAATGTTTAATATTTCAATTAGATGTCAAGTGAAACATTTTAAATGTATGCATCAAAAAATAATTAAAATTCATATATTTCTCATCTAGTAGTATGAATACTGTTGAAAATGGCACTGACGTAATCATGATGTTTTAACAAAAATCCTGGATTTTTGAGCATTTAATGATCTTAAAACTTATATGGTACGATTCACATGGAGTAATTTGAAAATCTGATCAGTAAATATTTTAAGTTTAATCTTGTCTAGATAAGTGGTTATCGATAATTTAAGTTCAAAAATATGAATTTTAACATCACATTAGGTAAAAAATCCCTAAAACTGATTTTAAAATGAACCAAAACAGATTAAACATGTTTTGTTTTGTATTTGATTTTCATCACTAACATACATTAGTGGAGAACCGATTAACAAAAGACAACACCAAACATATATTCCATCTTAGTTATTGACTAATGAACTGTGGGTGTCCATCACACCAAATGAACTGAGTACAAAACCCTTTGATCTCATGGTGCATACATAAAATATAGGCTGATGAATTTACAGCATCAAATTCAGTCAGTTTATGATGAAAACTGCCTGGATAATAGCACATTTCCAAGTGTTACCTTAATAAATATTCGGTTTCTTTGAATTATCTCAATTTTCATCATTAACCAGTATATACATTAAGATATATTTTTCTTCCATGTTATATTTTTTAGATTATGAAAAAAATGCCTACTTATTCAGTTCAGGTGACATACATGAAAATGATTACAAATTACCAGTATGGTTTAGTGAACCATTTGCTCGGGGGATTATTTTTAGCAACACTTTACTATATAGCTGTTTGAGTTCTGTAAGTGATTAAATTTTATAAATTAAGAACATGATTGACTATTTAGTAAATAAATAAACATCATTAGTGTACAATGTGTATGCATATTAGTAATTGGATATATGAATATTTAACCTTAATAGACAATTACAATAAACATATCCAGTTGGTTAGTGGTTTTGCATTTTTTTTATCAGTAAATTCAATTATCATGATAATTGCAAACAATTAAGTACTGAAAAATGAAACATGGTCAAATTCATAATTTTAAAAAAAATTATGTTCGAACACCATTTCCAGAATGGTAGAAAGGAATATAAAAAGTTTTAAGAAAGCTATTTTACTTAAATTATTATGTTTGATTCTAATGACTGGAACTTTGTATTACTTCAATCAACACATGGTTCAAAAACTTTTTATTTAGACTTTAGTGGATTATTTGTATTAATCTACTCATTTCTCGACAAAACAAAACTAAAAGCCACTGGAATGAATTCAAGTAGTTTGTATGTATGGTGATCATTTTAATATTTACAGGTACCAAGTAAAATTTGAAATGAATAGATTGTTACGAATACGCTTTTATTTTGGTATCCAGTTTATCGCTACGATAAGTGGTGACAGTTTCTGTCGGTAGTATTTAACCATAATTATTCATTGCAGTACTTTGTAACTGTTTTTGTTGATTAGTGCGATTGAATTGTTGAATGTCTGTTAGTGTAGACTCTCTGTAAATGCTTCCACTTAACAAATAACTTCATCCTGATTGTATTTCATAATAACTGGTAGATTAAACATATCGTTACTGTAGCCCTCTGGTGGATGGCATCTAATTATTTGAAGTAATCCCATAAAACTGATGTGGCTTTACGTCCGGTTTTTTATCACGTGATTTATCCACCAATCAAAATACAACTTATACAATCTTAGCACTGTGCCAAACCAATGACGTTCGACCGGTATGAGCAGCCTAGCGTCCTTATTAATCGTATGTCCGCCTAGCCCGTCCACTTGAGTCCAGAACACCAATACCAGCTTCCACTATGTGAATCGAATCATTTATTTCAGACATACTGGGTTTATATATCAATCAAACAGATCGCAACACACCATAAAACAGGAAATAACATTTGTACACAATAAAGCCAAAAAGTGGCTGTGAACATGGGAGGCAGTAGTTAACAAACTGAACATAGCTTAAGAACAGCAAATCGTACAATAATAACTTATAGGTCAAAATAAAGCTTATAATAAGGGGAATATAGATATACACAATCTAGTTACCGAATACTTATACCATGAGAATATATAAATAATAGTAGTCCATTAATAAGTCTCAGACGTTACTTGTAATGTAATCTTCACTAGGATATAACAAAAACTTATGTATAGATGCTGAATCTTCAAAATGACAAAAATTGCTCATTATCAATTTAGTCACTAGTCATTACGAAACACATATAGTGAAGTAAATTTAGAAGAATGAATACAGAACGAAAAGTTAGGCGTTTTTCATTCTAAGGAAAAAATAACCTTGTTATTTCCATAGATCAATTTTCCGTAGCTTGCGGATACAATATATGGAAACAAATAAAATGCTGAATCATCCTTATAATTAATCTAATTCACGAACTTTACTCATTCAAAAGGAACGACATGTAGACGTGGTTCAAAAAAACAGAATAACGAAGGATTTTTAAGGAATATAGTCATGGAATAGTTAATTCAGTCTTACAGTACAATGTTAAAGAACATACATTAAAGTTATATACTTAACGATTCACAAAGCTTTTGTGTAAAATAATTTCAAAATATCCCTTTTTCCGTTTAGTTCTTTTACAATGATAATATATTTCGTTTCCTTCGAGTTTTAATTTCTGGACAGTCAACTGATGAACTTGAAGCATCATTTTCTGTTGGAGCAGGTGAGATTAATAAATCGTATAATCGAGTAGCAATAAACAATACCCCTAAATAAACAATCCTATAGGTACTTAACATTTTTATGCTAAATTCGTTAGTTTTATAAAATTAAGCATCGATGTCACTTTGGTAGCCTATTATACATATGTGCTGCTTATTCAGGTTCTCATCTAATTAGTTTAGTGGTCTTGTCTTTATCAACTTCTATCCTTTCTTCTAGATTGGTGATCGAGTGGATGTATACAAACAATTAGGCTGCAACTTATAGGAAGTTTATTAACAATATCGTCACATTCTGTGAGTGACAAAACAGATTATCATTTGGTCTGAGTTTTCAAAAAAGTAAACTTTAAGCAGCTAGATGTCTCGTTCATGGTTAAAATAGTAATTTTGCCTCAGACTACTACTTTCAACTCTGTCTGGAACCCCTTTGAAGCTACCTCAGGTCCTAAACTCGGGTAAAGTAACTAAATATGTAAGAATACCACTTCTGTCAAGTAGCATGAAATATTTTTCTAAATTTTAAATAAGACTTCTCGGATTTTACAAAATTTCCAAAGGTCTTAATTTTATGTGAGCATAATAAGTTTAATATTTTCTAACTATGTATCGTAAATGTAGACAGAATTATTTCTGGGGGTTTTAGTACTGAAAACATGTCAATAAATGAAAAAGCATTTGAATTTAGACAAAAAATTTTAGTTGTGGTATGCATTTTCTACTCGGTTATGAACTTAAAGTCAAGTTATTGAGTAACAACTTCGAGCCCCGTCTTGTCTATAGATTTTTGAGGAACAGAGTAGAATATACCATTCTTAAATATAATCTATTTAGTCTAAATTATTATGTATAAAACTTAACGGATTTATAGGGCTATATTAACATTCATTATATCAATCAGTTAGATTAAATCAGAAGTAAATACAAGATAGATCAGGATAAAGTCAGTTACATGATGAATAGAATATCAAAATAGTAAATAGAACAAAAATATGTCATAGACTAAATATGCTACTACTTTGTGTATTATCGATTTCGAAACTCAAAGATTAACTTCAATAGATAAAATATCAAGAATGCAAAATACTGTCCAACTTAATTCGATCTAGAAACTCGAATAATTGATAGAATACATCTGAAACCCCATACTAAAGTATATTTAAGAAATTACATTTATCCTGAAAGTGAAGTGTTTATTGATCAAAGGGTTATCACTTAGTTTCGACAGGTCTTGTATGAGGTTTCGGTAATTTCTACTTTCAATATACTCTCCGACTGGAAAGTAAATTTATACGAAATAGTCATCTCCGTTTAGTGGTTAAATGAATCAACGGCTTCGTAGAAATGTTAAGCTAGTTTTAGAAAAGAAACAAAATTGGGTTCATGTACATTTTCAGATTACACAACAAGAAATTTAGAAATAATATTTATACCTACATGGCTAGTGGTAACAACGTAGAATATTTTGAAAAATTTATTTAGATATTTTGTAACCCAAGAAACAGTGATTGCTTAAGCGTATTAGAAATCTGTTATACCTACACATTACGATATAAACATGACATGAGTTTGTAAAAATTTAGTTCGGTTTTTGAAAACAAATTATTATCATGTTTTTTCTTCTTTAACTTCGTGGCAAAATAGGTCTACAACAACAAGCAACACCACAGTCAGCTCGAATGGCTGGAGTAAAAGTTTCTTTGAGGGGATTTCGTCATGCACCTTTCAAATTTTTAACTCGAATATCACTTCGAGTAAGTACACAAATTATCAACTTTTTTGATGAATATATAACAGATCTAACAGACTTCAGATTTCTGTAGAAACATATCGTCAGGTGATCACATATTTTGTTTCTCACACTGAAGATATTTTGATTTGCTGTGATGAGCGAAACGTTAGAAGGCTGTTAGAGCAATTACAAGCAAAAAAACCTGTCAATTTATTCGCCTAAAATATTCTCTACATTCTCTGTTGATTTTGACCTGCAATTGTGTTATGATCTTGAATCGCTTTTACCCCGTTAATACTTGTTATGACTTGACCTTGATCTGTCTAATCTAAATTATGACCTTGATGCGATAGGGTGAGCGGCTTAACCTTGAGTATAGCACGCGTGAGTTCGAGATGGGGTAGAGAGATAACTATTCTAGAACCTGATTGGTCGGCAAGCACGCAAGCGAAAGAAGACAAGACAGTTGGGACACTGAATTCTGGATTCTCTGAATTCGGATTAGTACAAAAATGTACACGAATAGATAAGTGAATATCTTGACCACGATGTACGATAATTTGAAAAAATACAGTTATGCCCGAAACTGGGAATTCGTGTAGAAAATACGGTGCAAAATATTATGTTTAAATTACAATATTTTCGGAACAAAAAAGGGTATAGTAGTGAATGATACATAGAACGAAAGTTCATGTTATGTAGAATAAGATAGGGACAAAAATAAATATAAGTGTTTTACAGGGTTTGAATGAAAGGAATTAACGTTCCAAGAAAATGGCTTTCGTAGTTGTCGGCTTCTTAATTCCCCGTTCACAACAAATTGGTAGTCAAAAATGAATGAAACTTTTTAATTAAAGCGGTCTATTTACCTCAATTTTAAAGTTTTCAGGATGAGGTTGTCATACTTAGTAAATCTGGTTACTTTTCCGTCCATTTAATCGGTGAGTGCTGTATATTAGAGTGTACATGGCAAATGTAGTGCAGCGCAACATATCAAATGAAAAACATAAATATGTGGCAAATATCAGAACTTGAAATGAAATCTTCCATAAATATTACATTCAAATCTGAAGCACTCACTCATCAAAGAAACGGAAAAATGACCGAAAGTGCTAGGTACGAAGCAATCAGTGAACCTTGAAAACAATATGGATAATCTCAGTTTGTTTTCTTACTATGAAATATATGTGGCTTGTTGCAAAACTTTCTGCTTCACTAGAGAAATACCGGTCATAATTCTAAAACTGTACCTTAATATCGTAACCTTACAACGAAAATTAGCTTTTTTATCTTTTCAAATTTTGTCAGTGGCATTTGTCTAGATTTCGTCATAAATGTCTTCATTTTGATGAAAGAAGTATATTAATCATGTACAGTACGACACTACGAATAGTTGTAGGGACGGCGCTTGGCGAGCTCAAGGAAGCTCAGAAAGAGCCGAAAACATTCCATCCAGTCATCTCTTGGAAGAACACTCCAGAATCTTGACGTGTAGCTTGTCAATTGTGCAAATGCTAAAAACCACTGCACGAGGATTGGATGACTGTAATGATGATTTTATTTTTACTAAGAACTATAAATACCTGAGTAATTTGTATCAAAACTAAAACTGTTTGGAATAAGATTCCTTCCCACTAGTCGTCTGACTTGCGGCTTCGAGTGCTCAAGTTGTACGCGGTATAGTAAGGAAAATATAAGTTCATGATATAACAGTAGGAAGGTACACTAAGGAAGTATATGGATAGTACAAATTCGGAGATTTTACATTAACTGCTGTAACATACGTTGTTTAATGTGACATTGTTTGCTGAAGAACACACTACGAAGTAGTGTCAATGAGAATAAGAATAAAGCAATCTGTTGCAATAGTCTAAAATTATACTTAGTGAAGTAATTAGTGGTAGTGAAGATTTGCAGTTCAGGTGGGTAACTTTGGTAGTGTTCGGTTCTATGAGCTAAATGGCTTAATTGATAAACTTCAATGTCGTCATGGTCAATGTCATCAGCCCCTACTTCATAGGGAAGTGAACTTTCCGATTATTCTACAAGCCAGTCCATTATGACGACCTTGTTTTCATTCGGTTACTTTCGAGATTTTATCATCTTTAAGTATCTTTTTGTTCTTGTTGACAGTTTTGATCGGTTAACCTCTGACCATGTGATCGTTCGTTATTTTTTAAATCGGATCTATGTCTCTGTGTATGTTGATTGCTGAGTGACCTGAATGCAGTGCTTCTGTAGGTTTCTGGAATTTCCTCGGTCGATAAACTTAGTAGTTTTTCAAATTCATATCCCTAGTTGCCTGTATGTAATAAATGATAGCATCTTGTTCTTTAACATCACTAACCTGTGTCTGCGTATAAGTGAAGGAACCATCTACTTTATCCAATGTTCTGTCTTTTGCAGCTGTTTTGGTTGAATTCGTAAACAATGTTTCAGTTATCTTCGTTCATTGTTGGGTCCAAAGTCTTCATTGGACGGAATGTGAGTTGATTGTGTTCGGTTGTTGAGAACGATGGTTCTGAGAGATCCCAGAATCTTAGTGCTGATTCCTAAAACGTTTTTTTTATTTATGGTGTGATGATCTAGTTCTCGTCAGTGCTTGTGTTGTGTCATGTTTATTTACTGAACAAATTTTGATTACGTTTTGCGGGTGGCTATTACTCAGGGATCCAGTATGTCCATTCGTGGAAAAAAAGTCGATAAGTCACACGGTCAGAGGTTAACCGATCAAAACTGTCAACAAGAACAAAAAGATACTTAAAGATGATAAAATCTCGAAAGTAACCGAATGAAAACAAGGTCGTCATAATGGACTGGCTTGTAGAATAATCGGAAAGTTCACTTCCCTATGAAGTAGGGGCTGATGACGTTGACCATGACGACATTGAAGTTTATCAATTAAGCCATTTTGCTCATAGAACCGAACACTACCAAAAGAAAAATTTTACCGTGGCTAATTAGCTATAAGCTGCTGCTCGATATATCACGTATATTTATTTTAAATTCCATAGGTGTAAAAAAAGTATACTCTTTGAAGAACACCGTTCTATAATTACCTAGGCTATGTAATTGCTAACTAACCGAACATTTATAATAATGCAAGAGTTCAGGTGCACGACTATGTCATCATTGTTCAGTATTAAAAACGAAATTCCTCACACATTCTGAATGAAATTAATCAAACCGACATTGAGTTACTTAATCGCAAGAAAGATTAAACTGATTAAATAATTCTGTAGATGAATAGTGAATCAGTCAATCTACAACTTATTTTTATAGTTAGAGGCTCAATAGAAACAGCAGTGAAACATTTTTTGGACTCAAATTCATTTAGCAATAGGAAAATCAAATGTTGATTGCAGTATATAATCCATAAAATAAGATCCATGACACTATGGTCTTAAAAAAGTGGGTAACAATTTGTTGAACGATCAACTAGAATCCACCCATAGATGCTACTCTTTCGTATCAATGCATAATTTTCTTGCGACTAGTTTTGATAAATAATGAAGAAAGTAATCAAATTTATAATTGTGAAATGCAAGGCCAGATTTAGTAGTTTTATTAAGTCTTAACTGTGGGAAAATTTTAAACGATATATATATATATATATATATATATATATATATATATATATAACTTGCTTACACCTGTTATCCCACATGAAGGAGTACAAGCCACCACCAGCATTCCCCATCGAACTCTGTCCTGGGAAGTCCTATCCAGTTGCTATTCATTCTTTTGACATCTGCCAATTCTCGGTGCATTGTGTTCTTTGACCTTCCTCTTAACGTTTAACTTCAGAATTCCGAATTGATCCTCTTGGTCTCCCACATTGTCTGAATATTTCATGTACCTATATTAATTGTTGCTCTGGTTATTAGAAGGGGCATCGGCCTCGTGACCTTCGAAGAATCTCGGCTTCCACCATGAGGGGTTATAATTCCTCATCCAACTCCCAAGGCAGAGTTCAAATAATTTAATTTGTTTATTCTTTTTAGCGTTGTTTTTAGCAATGTTGTTTTCTACCAAATGAGGTTGCTGACCCCATGCCCAACCCTCCATTTTTACCCTGGTTTGGGACCGGCAGTAGCCTCAGAAGGGCTATAGGAGGAGTTATATATATATATATAAATTTATTTGTTCTGGCAACATCTTTAAAACTAAATAAAAATGAGATTTTCAATATAACATATATATATATATATATATATATATATATATATATATATATATATGTTATATTGAAAATCTCATTTTTATTTAGTTTTAAAGATGTTGCCAGAACAAATAAATTTAGGAACGAACTGATTTTAAGTGATAATAAATTCTCTAATGGAGTGTCAGTTATTGGATCATATGGTTGATGTCAAAAAATGATGTTTGATGTGAAATGAAAGTTATTTATAAATAAATGAATTATGACAAGTCGACAGAAAGTGTACTACTATTTTGTTCTATATATATTCCATATTATAATGTATTAGAGGCTATTTATCAGCCCACTTTTATAAATCATAAGTATGTGATAAATTAGAAATTCAATAGTAATTTTGTGCATTCTTATAAGCCTCTAATATGTAACAAAATAGAATCATTTTAAAAATATATATTTAACTACAGTATAAATAAATTATACTACGTATGAGAATTTGAGTATACTAAAGGAAATCACTATCATTTGAAGGGGATCAGTCTTACTGGCTTAGAATTGTTGTACGAGGAATAAACTTAAATGTCTATGGTTTATCATATTTCGAAAATCAAAGGGACTTTGCTGTTACTTCTGAAGAGGATATTATTCAAGTTAAATGTAGATCAACGTAAAGTATGATAAAAAGATTGGAGTGAAGAATGGACAAAAAGACAACTGTTTCCATATTTTGTAGATTATAAAGTAACAAAGTCGCTACAATACTTAAAACCATACATATATGGTCATTTATATTTGAGGGAATCGAACATGTACGTTTGGTTGAAAAATAAGTATTTCCATTCGAACTACTTATAAGTATCATGTATATATTCCTCGTAAATTGCAAAGGAAATAACTGTTACAAATTTAATATTCATTACACATAAAAAGGTTAAATATGTTTTACAATAAATTGTACAGGCTGATCGAATATAGTTATCAGTATTCTGTGAAAATCAAGAATTACATTTTGGTGGCTACAAGAATTTAAATGAATTAAAAGTAACCATTAAGAAAATCATCCGTAATGATTTACTTAGTTTGATCTAATAATTGACAATCTATATCACAAGTAGTTATATAATGGTAAAGCTGTATATAATGACTAGGAGTAAATAATCTTCAAAACAGAAGTACAAGTGATTGCATTCTAACTGAAATGAATAAGTTAAAATAAATGGACTCAACTGCTTTACAAAATATGGATAAATCCAATAACAAGAGCCTCCAAAACATACCAAATTAACTTATCATATAACACAGAAGATCTAAGCTACAGCAAATAAAAGCTATCAAACAACCTATTAACGTTTTAACAACAAAAATGTGAGGATAAAGTTAAAAACATGTAAATTTGTAGTAAGTTTTGAGAAACGAAATAGCAGTGAATTTCTATGTTCTATACGTTCATCAATTTCATACTGAAACATGGGTATTTTATTCAGTGCCAGACATTTAGATAAACAATCTCATAAATCATTTTTCGCTGTTTATGTATGTAATATTTATTCGTAGTACATGCACTTCTGCTAACATATACATACAATTGGCTCAGTAATTTAAAATAAATGTGTATACTTACTATTGAAAATTTTAGAAGCCACTTACCTTTAAAGATGTCTACATTCGCTGTATAACATGTTGGCAGATTCTATGTCTTGGGTTATATAGATGGCAAGAAAATGGTTTTCGATATGTTATTGCTAATCCAATGCCAGATACTCAAATTTATGAAAATGATATGGTAAGCGTGGAAAGTCATATAAAACTGTTTTTAATTGAAAGTACCTATACGGTTGAAGATTTCTTCCTAGGACAGGCCGACTTTTAAAAAGTGGAAAGTCAAAACCTATCATGTAAGAGGATATTTATAAATAAATGTCTTTGCAATCCGAAGCAGTGTCATAAAATTCATAATGATGTACGTCATTTATGTAGCACTTGTCTTAGAAACTCATTAAGCTGAAATAGATTTATGCAGTTATTAACTAACTCAGTAGTTTTAACTTTCGTCAAATTCCCAGTTGTCCGGAAAAAACTATTCGACTGTGTCAAACGTGTACAAACAATACATTGTTGTCACTTTATGTTTAAGTTAACAGCTTTAGAATTTGATTGCTTTAAAGATAATATTCATTAGGAAGCAGTACGAATCAAAAAGTACGTCGCTACATACACCTGCTTCACACTAATTGATTAGTAATAGCTTTTTTATTTCACATATGAAAATGATCATGAGTTTTAGGTCTTGTGGTTGAAATAAGATTTAACTACTGTTAATTACCAAGTCTCACCATATCAGAATATATTTTGTCGTTTCTGACAATGTTGATGTTAAAGGTCACTTATCTAAAAAATTTTACAGAATAACTGCACTTGGTTATTAAGTAATCAAACAGTCCCAGCAAGTTCCACTAGTTTGTTTGTTATGATTCTTTTGATAATAAATAAAGATGTGACTCACTTTAAGAATACGAGGTTTTTAATTAATGTAATCAAACTGAACCAAAAGTACATTGTTATGAATAAAGATTAAAACAGTATGAAAAATATGTGAACGAACTGTAAATCCCAGACAAATGCCTCTTCTAAAAAAAGAATCCAGGGACAGTTTTCATGTTGAAAGTGAATACTCAATTGAAGCACATTCATTTAGTTGGTCTTAACTGGTATCCTGGATTTTTCCGTACATGCTTCTGACGAAACTAAGTCTGGGATGAAACAGCTTCCTGTGACTGACAAAGTTAAATTACTATTTTTATATACTTCTGGAATTTTGACCTCGTATATAAGTCAAAAGCGCATTTAGTAAGATGTTGAGCTTATTGGTAGCAGTCTCATAAAATCCACCTACACAAATATGAAGTATTCTCTTAGAGCCTTTGAAATATTGTAATGATTTACTTGAGTATTATTGTATATTGAACTTAATTGCCAAAAATCCTACAATTCCTGTGTTTTGAAGTACTGTGTTTCGTATAATAAAATTTACCGAATTATTGCAGTGTGGTTTGTTGTGCAAACTTTAGAAATTGGTTTCTAATACATTTGCCACAAATAAAGTGAATTTCTATATATAAGTTTTTTTACTTGTTGAATATTGAACTTGTAGATATCTATTTTACAAAAACGGAACGAAGTTCTAAAAACTTCACATAAAATATGCACTTTTAGTTGTAATAAAATATATCCTAAATAATCAAAGTCGGTAATTGGTATAATAAGTTTAAAGCCTTTGATGTATGAGTAGGTCACTTTTTATTTTCATTAGCTAAATTGGTTTAGTAAACACAAATAGTTTTTAATATTTATACACGGAAAGTAGTTTTGTGGTTCCTGTGATTTATGTTATCAATTTATACTAAAATTTAAGTGTACTTTGGATGTTTATTATCATAAATAATTACTAAATTATTTGGAACTAAATTATTTTTTATGAAATAAGTTTGAAATAAAACGTCTAATATCGAAGTTCCCATCTACAAAACATCTTAAAAAGGGATATTATACAATAAATAATGCAATATTCAGTAACCAGTGATTCATTTACAGTTACATTTAAAATAAAGATATTACTAGCGAGATTAAAACCTCTTAAATTTACTTATTTTCGCAAGACGATGACATGGAAATTACCAAAGGATTCACAAAAATCCACGTAGTTGTGGCTCAACTATCTGTTTCTACAACAAATGGAATTTTTATTAGTAAGATAAATATAGTTGGAAAGTATCAAGAAAGTTTGTATATTTTCTTGTCATTATGAAAACCACACGTGGTAGTCAATCACAACAGCTAATCAGATCAAACTTTATCGTATTATATCCCTGAAAATTTCAATTGTCTGTCTGACTGTTATTGCTAACAGTGTAATTCCTTTACATTTAAGGACGCGAGAGTATACATAATTAACAACAGAACAGTTACCTTGATGGAATTATTATTATCATTATTGTAACTCACTGTATACATGTTAATACTTTGATGTTAGATTATTGGAAGTAATCAAATATGAGCTCTGGACCAAGCTTTTGTTCTAGCCGGTACTCATCAGGAAGACAATGATTAAAGTCCCATGATATCGATAGTCTCCATGAGATTTAAACTTATCTTGTCCAGAGATTTAGGCTTTAGCTTTAACTATCAGCTTGTTTGTTGCTTGACAACCAATTCATACATTCAGTTCAGTACTGTTCATATTAAAAATCTAATTTTTGTTGTTTCCATACAATTCTCAATTTGATTTTGCTATTAACACCTTTTACTTTAATTTCTTTAAATTTAGTTTTATTGTTTCATGCCAATTGATCAGGATGATTCAAATAAAAATTGGAAATTTTCCGAAGTTATACAACCACGAAATGAAAGTACATAAATATGTTCCATTTAATTAATTGATCAATAATATAAAAATGAATTACCAGAGATATTGAGATGATAAAGAGTTTTATTATTATTTACTATTTCATAAGTGCCGGCATTTGTTATTGTAATTTAAATTCAACCGAATTATTCATAAACTTACATAGATAATTCATCACTGTATATTATTGTTATTACTAATCGCTAGTTACTTGGTAACAGCATAAATAAAAATTGCAAAACACTTAAAATATTGAGGAGAAATATGTTTGTAAAATTTCAGTTATTTAATTTTGACAAAGTCCAACGTTTCTCTCGGCAATTTTATCAAAGCTTTTTCAAGGAAATATAATCAAAGTTATCAAATATAAGTAGGTACATTGTTCTTTGCTTAACTGTATACTAAACAGATTATTCAATCATGTTATTAATGTTGAATGTAAGAGTTTGCCGTAGTGTATATGAGACACCTGGTGTGTAACGAAGAATGTGTTGAGATAACAGATTGTATATATTTATAAGTAGATCTGAGGTGCGAGAAGAAATTTCATGGATTATATATCACCTCTAATCGGTGAATGCTTGACTCATATCATCAATAAAAATTGTCCACTTTCTTCAAACACTCACCAATTAGAGGTGATATATAATCCATGAAATTTCTTCTCGCACCTCAGATCTACTTATAAATATATACAATCTGTTATCTCAACACATTCTTCGTTACACACCAGGTGTCTCATATACACTACGGCAAACTCTTACATTCAACATTAATAACATGATTGAATAATCTGTTTAGTATACAGTTAAGCAAAGAACAATGTACCTACTTATATTTGATAACTTTGATTATATTTCCTTGAAAAAGCTTTGATAAAATTGCCGAGAGAAACGTTGGACTTTGTCAAAATTAAATAACTGAAATTTTAAAAATACATGTTTTATCTCTAATGTCTGATATTAACTCGGCGCCCAACTACTATGAAACTATTCGTTCAAATTTATACGAAAGTTCTCATACTCTTAGAATATATTGTAGAAAGTAGTGAGTGGATCCAAAATCACTAATTTCATGTTTAAGACTACAACTGTAGGAGTAAGTGCTGCGTTTGAAACACAGTGAGATTAATAATTCAGGTAAAATATATTTCGCTAAGTTTATTTGTTTAAACATTGTTACAAGAAAGCACCAAATATATATGCGATACACGAATCATTTGATTCGTGTGGGGGCTGGGATACCGCTCGGGTGCCCGAACAGAAGCAAGTGGTCTTCCTAGGGGGCCACACCATAAGCCTTTGACCTAAAAGTCCAGTCCACAAGGCAGTGGAACAACTTTAGGAGATGTAGTCCTACGGTAGCCGTTGATCAATAATAGGTTAATATGCCTTGTTTCTTTACGATCCTTGAGCACATGTGCATCATTGTTTTGGAATCAAGGTTTTCCAACACCCTAGGTGGATCTTCCGTATCTACTAACCCGGCTAAAGCGCCGAACATTCGCTTTTAGTCCTGTCGACAGAAGGCAGTGAGTAGGACTTCACTAGCAGTGGCTGTATATGTGTGGCCAATCGAGAGCATTTCAAGAGGGAGAGTCAACTCTCGCCGTCCTTGGCTGTGCTAGGGAATTGGGGGGGGGGAAATTGTCTCAAATTACCTCAACAGGTAGAAACATGAATATCAGATTGCAACAGCAGCATCTGTTAAAATTTAATTTATAAGACAACTTCGATAGGTTTTTAGGGATCATTACATTATACGGCACTAAGACGATAGCAAACAAATAAACTAGATTGTGTGCCATTTAAATTGAAGTCCAAGTTCAAACTAAAAAGATACAATAAGACAAAAAGGAATTAATAAACTACGTTCAGATGACAATATAACCATCAGATCGGACAACTTCACAAGGAAGAGATATAGAAACCCGACATAAATCGAAGATAAACTAGTACAACTTCATAGGCACTTAAATAAATTTTAGCATTTCAATAAAATTTCATCACATCAGAACCTTAAAGTCTTCAAATCATTTAAAATGAAAATTAGATGTTTTATCAAAGATAGACTCTAATCCTACCAGAAGTAGTGTTTACAGCACATTAAATTCATCTCTCACAGATTTTAACATCTATTAACACTAATTACACAGATTACTAAGAATTAAAAATAATTTAGCAACAGTTGGTGTGACATCAGTCTAACAATCATTTGCAGTATGTGCAAATCAGATTCTTTTATGGTAACAATACAGATTTACTAGATTCGGGGAAAATATAATTAAGAATGGACCAAAACATACGGGAATTTTCTAAGATAGAAAAACAGTAAGTTATAACCGTTTGCATATAACCTTCATGGGTGTTCAAGGATAAGCTTATCACTCTCCGTTGGTACATGAGTCCCTTTAATGAATGTCTTTATATCACCTTCATCCAAAAGGCGATTATTTTTTAAATCGTTATTCAGAGAATTCAAGATTTGTTCTTTGCCCAATCTGTAAATTAGAAATAAGTCACTTCAGTCCTGCGTATCAACAACACAAAAGATATAAATCTTTGCCAATTATTGCACAATAGCAATACCAGTAACTAACGAGTCATTTATCATTACGTATATGATTAAAACATTGAAATTTTTAGCGAAACAATTTTCGCTAACACATGTGTACCCCAGCTGAAGGCTGCGACACGGGACAAAACATGCTTTAGATCCTACTGTTAGAGAATATTCAAAAACATAAGGGGACTGTAGACAGTACAAACCATTTATTAGTCAGCTTGAAAAGTACTAGTAATAGTTACTAAACGCACATTAAAAGGAAGTGTTAGTGCAAAAACGTGATAGGGTCGCCGAACCTATAAAGTCTTATGAAATTACTCAGTAATACCGGCCTGTAACCTATTCTACATAAACACTATCAGATATGTTTCAGATGACCTAGTAGAGAAGAGACAACCTAACTATCCTCATATATATATAATCTTTTTTACCAAGCGATTCTCTTGTGTAAACTTACACAAAAATTGAAAAGTATGTGTGGAACACTGTTAAAATGGCTATGCTGAAAGCCTTAGCGTTAGTCCTGAAAACTCGTAAACTGAAATTAATAGTAAGATGCAACGAATCCAACAAAATTAATTTTTGAGAAGAAATAATATCACATTTTATCAAGTAAAATTATTCGTCAGATCCATCAACAAACGCCACTTAAATCTCAAATCAGTCAATAATTTCTGGAATTTTTAAATCTTTATCAAAACTTTTTTACTCAACATTATATTGTATTTTCAGTTCACTTACAGATACAACACCAAATATAAGAAGAGAAAACCCATCAAGTTAAAAAAAGCATTTTCGCAGATTTAGAAATTAAAAATGTTAATCAGTGATCAATCTCAATTGCATACTCATTATTTATAGATGTATATTAGAATCATCCAATTAACAACCATACATGAACCACCTATACATTACTTTCAAAACTTTTCTTAGACACCAGTAAACAGATTACAGTAGTGTGTATTCTAATCAAGAATATGATCAATAATTAATGTAGAAATATGCTTCACACCACATGTACAGCGAACATTTATTTTTTAACATCAATATATTTTACATTAATAACATAACTTTCCATTTTTACAGTAAAATAAAATTTCCTTGATTTTCTTCTTCATTACCTCGCATATCTGCTTGTTCCGCCGAACTTATTTATATTTTGTGATTGAATCTGATACAGTCAACGATTAAATGTAGCTTATTCATTAAGAAAGAGATGATAGGCTGGATTAGAGCCTGGAACCAACAATTCTTTCAAAACTACGAATTGAGTTAGATTGGATTCCGAAATCCTCTTATAAAACAATTCTAGTACTCACGATTGTTTACTTTATTATGTCGGTTAAATTGTAGGAACCATATACTGTACCATTAAATGTTATTAGAGGGGAAACTTATATTGACCCAACGTCTATCGCTTTATGAGACAAATGTATATAGTAGGAAAATATCTCAGCATTCAGAACATATTTAATACGACATTAACAGTTATACATATTTCGGAATTGAATAAACATTAATGTAACTAACAAACACATCCTAAATGAAGTGAATTCTGAGGTCAAGGTACTAAGGGAACAATAATGGTAAATAACCTTGTAGCAAGACTCAATTTAGGGATAAGTAATAATGAGTCTGTTTCAACTTAGTAAGAGCAGTGAGAATACTACTATTTAGGTACAAAGAATCATAGAAGAGTAGTTACACGTCGACGCTTAGCTGGTATATATATATATATATATATATATATATATATATATATATATATATATATATATATATATATATATATTAAAGATGGATCATTTGACGAACTTCGAGTACCATATCAGTTTCTGGGGAAAAAAAACTTAGTAAACAATCACAATGACGTGTTTTTACGTAGTTGTAAAGGTTATAAACAGCTTTCTGCAAAACAAAAAAGTTGCTCACCATGTTAACTAAGAAAAGCAAATTTAAGGAGTTTACGAAGTTAATTTTTGGTGTAGCATCACCGTAACAAAGTTCAATAAACGTTCATTAACAGGCATGCTACATTGATTTGGTTGCACCTCATGTTACTAATTATCTGGAAAGAAATGAACGAAACATAGTGGACAAGAATGAAGCGTGACCAATAAATACACTTATTTAACAACCGCTTGAGTTTTCTTAATGGCCAGAATCACGTGATATTTTCAAATAACAGAATAGCTGCCCTTGAATTTAAAAGACAATGAAGGTATTCTAATTCGCATGTTAGAAAACTCAACATGACAAGGACAATGAAGTGGAAAAAAACTAGATAACCGACATAGCACAACAGACTTATTTTTATTTCAAAGACTGAGCTTAGTTTATTAATTCAGTGTTTCTGAGGTGAGTGAGTTGGGATGACTATAATGTACCTGAATTGTAATAAAAAGGTACTGTCACATGACAAGCCAGTGTTAAATACACACAAATAACTACCTGTACAATTGTACTAATAAAACTATGGTATAACTGAATCCTATTTATAAAATACTTTTTCATGTATTATGATTGGATTTCTGAAAACTAGGAGTCAAGTATGTATAGAACGACCTTAGAAATGCAAATATCCGGTTGTATCAGAAAGCATAAATCTGTCCATTCTTTTCTTTTTTGAAGCTAGTAGACCGACGTTAATATCAGTTTGGAATTCCACTAATGTTAAGCAGCAAAGAAGAGTATAAGTTACAAATTTATATACTGAATCCTGAGACAAAAACTTTAAAAAGGTACTTAAGGTTTAAAATAACCACGCCTCCTAACAATGTGCTAAGTAATGATTACCTAATACCTTGCTAATTTGCAAACCAAAGGATATCAAAGAAATTGGACAAGTCGTTCTTGTGATCAACGGGGTAAACCGTATACATACTCTCAACCTACATCAGATCTATCATTTTGAGATTACTTGTGTGATAGGGGAGTTGTGATTATTGTTAGTTCATCTGTAGCTGAATTCGAGAATTTTGTCAAGTTGAAAGAAAATGTTTCTACGGATTAGTTGTGTACATTTCACAATACAAAGGGAGTGAAATACAACTTTAAAGGCTTCCATTCATTGGCATCAAACCTTAATGTTTCAGTAAACAAAAAATAAATCCACTGGGATTGTGATGAGGCGTAACTTATCATTCGTCCGTGTGTGGAGATTTTAGGAGTTTTCTAGAGGGCTTTAAGCAACCTTCCAGAATGAGGTTTGGCTAGGTCCTAACCTCAACCTGAAGCTTTTTTGAACTTCATAATAATGCACTTTTATCCTCACGTTTAACTCAACTATACACAGCAGTATTTCATTTCCATGGTCGTGCTTCTACTGAGGAACATGGCACATAATGAACAAAAAGTTTGGTATGTAAATATTTAGTAAGGCCTATTCATATGTCCCAGCATGTGATCAGAGTGAACGGCGTATTGCGACTGCCTATAAAATGTTTTCGTCATTACAAGTAAAGTAGGTTGGAAGAAAGATAGGGACGGCCAAACCGAAACATGGCATCAGTTCATGAGATCACTGACAACTGGACTGAGTCATGTTAGTAAGTGTAGACTACCTGGTTTAGATCCGCGTGATTACTGTAACTAATGGCTGGAGACCATGGGTGATATGGCTCAGAATCGATCACAATGGCGTAGGTGTATACACTCTTTGTCTATTCTTAAACCGTGAGACTAAAATTACTTTATACCTTTATTTCTAGGAGCTAATTCTTTCTTCCTATAATATTATCCTTATACACAATCTTTCTTTCGTGTATTACTAGCATTGAAGGAACTACTTCTATTAATTTGGTGTTCGTCTTGTTGTGCTTATGAGATGTAGCAACTTCGATCGATGCATTTATGTGCCTGGTTTTACGTTGCAGCTGACTGACTGGGAACTTTGAACAGAAGGATTTAAGACGGCAAAGATTTCTCTATTCTTCGTCTTGCCCCAAATTCTGAGATTTTGAAACCCTCATAACTTTTTTGAGTACAGTTCACTAATTTATATCATCTCGAAATGTATCTTTAATGCCCAATCTTTTCTATCACCACTGATACTGTTACTACTTCTACTGCTCTGATATTCGACCTGACAAATTCATTTCCTTATGCTGATGGAGTATGGCAACCTGAACCGATGTGGGTAAGTACCGGATTCTACTTTGCGACTGAGTGACCAACTAATTCAAAATCGCGATATTAGAACAAAACATAAAACTATTTGAATACTTTTGTACATAAAGCAAATAATTTTCAATTACAGCTTTTTCTTTTTTTCTCTTTGATGTTTTGGGTTTTTGAACTTCGATGGTTTGCGTTCTGAGATAAAAATAAAAAATAAAGCGCTTTAATGATACACGAATTTAATAAATTGAAGATATTTTTGAGTCATAAATACTTTTAGTTATAAAAACTCGATAACAAGCCCAAAAATCTTGAATTTATTAAACAATAGTATCCCATATTCTTCAAATGACCTTAGTAACAGCTAAAATCGGGAGAAGAGCACCATTCTTATCATAGCTACTTTAAATGCACACATGTTTGTAACTCTTGACAAGCACATTCAACTCTGCTTTTAAATGTCATGTAACTCAGTGACCAGGCAAAGATTAATGTGCCAATCACACTTATGTAATAAGAGCTAGTGATGATACTCTTAGTGTAAACAGACTAAAAAGAGTTCATTTAGGCAGCTCCATCGAGGCTGTTTAAAGAACAAATGAACTACTCTAACCCATGAAACCGAAAACAGTTTGGTTATCGCATAACTTGGAGGTTGATATTTGAACTTATGTTATTGGGATTGCGGTGTCACGAAGAACTCTCAAGCCATTACACACTTTCTAGTTTGAATCCGGGAAGAAAGATACTTTCTAATGTAACAGTATCATGGTTAATTATCATTACATACAAAATTGTTATACTGATATAACCTGTCATCGTTTTACAGTTAGTTCATTTAGTTTTTATTTATAATCACAAACCTGGTAATAACAGAATTATATTTACTACAAAAAGTAACATCATAGCCAAGTTGTAAACAAAAGGTGTACTAATTACAACTTGTAGTAAAATTACTACTTGTCTTAATTACATAAATGAGAGGTCGATACATGATAGCCGCTAACTTTTCTAGTTATTGAATCGTATGATTATTTAGACTGTGGTGTACTAACGGATGCTAATATGGTAAAAGGTGTATTTTATCATATGGGATAAAATTACAGAGTTCCTCTTGCAAAAAAAGACAGAAATAAAATGAAAACATTGGATTATTCATATAACTTTAGCTTAAATGCTTGAAAAATCAGTGTATAGCATGTTGAAGCAAACCATTTACAAGATTTACCTTCAAATCTTTTGAAACGGATACTTGTTTTTGATGCCCGGCATTCAGATGATTGCGAATATTCACAAACAGAGTTGACTCGATTGGGCAAACGAGAATCGGGTAAGTTTTTAACCAGAGATTGAGGAATGGCGTTGGCGTTAGTAGAAGAATTAAAGCCACCGAAACTTTCTCGAAACCCAGGTGATACATTGTAGAGCTTAAAAATACTTTTAACAAACTGATAACGATATTTCGACTTAAGGATGGTAGCTCTTTTGTTGATATGCTTTTCTACAGAAGAAGGGAGTTTAAATCCATACTCTTGTGAATTAGGAAGGATGTCTGGGGCACTTTGATTAGTAGCCTTCTCCTTGGCTACGAGAGTTCGTCGCATAAAATTCATTTGGAGTAAATTCTTCGATATACCAAGCTCACTAATATCTAAGTCAGCCATCGTCAACTACACATAAAGCAACGAATGGAGGACTAAGTAAGTAGGTTTCAGATAATTTATGTTGAATATACTACAGCTATATTGAAAAAGTTTGATTGTGTTAATTAAGTACCTATCATTTAACCACTAAAACGACTGACCGCACTTTACTATGTGACCATGAATTAACGGCTTTTCCGTAGAATACCTACCCACTGGTTCCTTAGAGCAAGGGTGTCCCCAAAAGAGATGAGCAAGATCATTCTAGCGTCAGATAACTGCATTTCATAGACCTATGGTATGAATGGATTGCAATATAATGTCTCATCCTTATCATTCTGAGTTGTCTGGATGCCTATCCCAATAAAGTAATTATGATTAGAAAAGACGGCTTATCTTGGAAGTACTGAAATAAGTGAAGAGGGATATAATTACCGTAAATAAAAATACGCACAACCTCATGAATTCATTGGACAACTTGTAAGCCGTAAATTAAAGTAACAGCTAAGTGATCCTGTCGCGAAAAATAACCATGCAAAGGTAAGCGTCAACAAATGTATGCTAGCTCTTTTGCTTGATACCAGCTAGTTGTGAATTCACCCCAATATATTGTACTATAAGCGTTATTGACATGTATTTACAAAAGAGTAGAGTAGTATGAGTGCCCCCACTAAACTACATCTTAGAAACATATCCAAGATCCTCTCAGACCTCAGACAAAATCCCAAGGAATATTTGGGAAACTGTAATTACCGAAGCCTACTAGATGGTAGGTAGATTGAAGGAATAAGAACTAATCGGAAGAAAACAGTTCATACAGACACATCGCATCCGCACTTAGTAACTAAAGCAATCAACAAAAATAGAAAATAACACAAACGTGAGGTTAAGACAATCTGATAATCGGGACCAGAATCTGATATAATGAAGCTTCGAATAGGAACAGGACAAAAATGTGGGCACGGTCTAAACGTTAAGTCCTTTCGAATGTGCCTGCCTTCTGTTTCAACGACCTTGAACGGCCTGAATAGAAGCGGTTATTCCGTATTTCAATTGCCGTGGGTTGGTTGGATTGTATGAGTATCAAGTTTTTTCATATATAAGTCATCTTATGTTGCATAAAAAAGCAAGAAATAAATACCAAAAGCATTAATTTAGCATTCTCTGTTTTGTAGGGTACACTTTGGCTCTGTTGTTGCTCTGTAATTTGATCTGTGATCCCAACAACTTTAATAAAGCTCAACGAAACGTCAAGTCACAGGTAAATCGTAAGTATTTGTAGTATTTCCTTGGGTTATTATTGTTGCAAGGAATAACGTTTTAATAATTAATCATGTCTGTTTTTAGTGCTTCATGCTCAAGTGCCATTTCAGTCGACCTTACCGATGCCTTTCGAAGTATGATACTGAACAAGCGTTTCGTGTTCTGGGATGATTTTGATAGCGCCTTAAAAGAGTTCCAAAAAGTATGGAATAGTAATTTTATCGCTTCTCAGACTACTTATACTCGTTACATCCACACGGAAAGCAGGTTGCTAAAGGATGTCAGGTTCAGATACCTGTTTGTAACGTTTAATTGTACGTTTGGTCATAAACGGAAATCGGAAGGTTTGAAAGTGAAGCAAAAATCTTAAGATCTTTAACTAATTTCCGATGTTTAAGGTCTAAATTCCGAAATTGTTAATCTAAATTCCGTGGAAGACTAGAGGAGCAAGGATATGTCATCAAATCCTACAACATGCTCCACAATCATCCATGTAGTAGTTCATGGATGGTATGTGATCCATGGACAAGGAGACTATCATCAAAAGAAAAAGAAAACTTGAAGCCAGCAATACTGCACTGTGCGTCAGTAGATAAAGTTATCGAAAATATTAAGGAGAGAACTGGTAAGCAAGTAACCGCTGCCGATGTCAAAGGTATGAAAGCTACACTCTCCACTGGTAAGTGTATATAAATATATTTCAGGTTGTACTCGGAAGCAGGTAATGCACATGAGGCAACAAAACGGTGAAGTTAGAGAGCATGTAGAAAATGGATGTATTACGGCAATATTCTTCAACAGTTATGACCATATAGGGTTGTACAATCAATATCCCAAAGTCGTATAAAACTAATAATAAAAAGTGAATATGATTTTCGTTTTGTTCTACTATGTAGATATTCATTATTCCACTTAGTTGTGACAGACAATTGTGGTCGAGGACGAACTGTTATGTTTGCGTGGACACGAAAAGAAAAGCGTACCGATGTGATATGGATTTTAGATAAATTCAAAGAGATAATGGGTTACACAACAATAACAGAAACATTTGTGATGGATTGCGCACGATCTGAAAGCGCGGCTGTCCGTATAACACACGGGCATGCAAACATCATTTTGTACGCCTTTCATGTCATTCGCGCTTTCCGGAAAAAGGTACACCATTGATTGCTTACATAAAATTTCCCTTAGACAAATGATAGAATACTAAAAACCTACTTGACTACATTGGTAACTGCAGAAACGGTCGGAAGGTAATTTTTTAATGTATTTATTCACTAGACAATTTCATGCAGCTAGTTCCCTGATAAGATGGATTACGTAATCCTTAGACCACCCTTCCACTCACACTTATTTGATAACCTTATCCTCTAAACTACGTGAACTCTTCAGACTGTATTCAATTATGTTATTAGTTCTTAATTCAATGATTTATTCATTACATCTAGAATTATCACACAATTTATATTATATGTTTTTGAGATTCACTCGACTATTACACCACCCATCCTTTATGTTTCCTTAAGTCTAACACCAAATGACCTTTGACCTGTTCAAGCATATATGTATGTATAGTTATTATTGATAACCTCGGTCATTCCAATTCTTTGCTTTCTATTATGTTTCATACTATTTTTTCCCTCAATCTTAAATTATAATACATATTCAGTTGTATGGAGCTTGTAAGAAACCGCGAAATGTCATGCGGTCACATGATTCTGCATCAATATTTGTTTTGGCTTTATTTAGACCATAATTATACAGCCTTACAGGATTTGTCATGTAAGACAGTGCGTATGGTTATTATATTTATATTTAAATAATTCATCAGATGAATGAACATGGCAGTAGGCAATATAAAACAGTTATCGTAAACTTGTAAACCGGTTTTCCACACGATCTTCAGTAATCCTAAAGAGTGAAGAGTATATAAGAATCTTACGAAGCCAAAGAATCAATAGGCATCACATTTATAAATATAGAGAAAGTTTTGCAATGGCAGTTGAATAAAAAGTGATTTATTTTTATTTAAGATTTCTTAATGACAACTAGTAAACTTGGTTTTCTGCTTCAGTATTAATGATTATTTAATAAAGTTTTGCATAATCTTTATTTTAATCTTATTCATACTTTCATGGGAATAGCAATAATGTTCATGTGTAAGTGTCAGTAAAAATTAGGAAGGATCAAGTAACGCTACTTCCGCGTAAAGTCTTACCGATTAGGCACCCATGTAACATATTCACCGTCAACGGTTTACATTTATTATCAAATTATTACCAGTAGCTAAGTAGATTATCAATAATTACCATATACGTAAGTATATATACATGCAATTTAAAGTCAAAGGTTATTACTTTTTACAATCAATAAAACATTAAGGATGGGTTATGTAATAATCGACTAAGGCTAAAATTAAACGCAACTTAATTTCGTAAATGTGCCCTTCAACCTAGCAACCAATCAGAATGAGGCGGTAATTAATACATCCGCCATCTTTGTAAGCAACGGCGGCCGGCTTTCTTCGTTCTGTGCTTCTTTCAGTTATTTCTATTGTGTAGCTATCTAATTTAATGTTTCGGTCTGCTAAAATGCCGCAGTAAGTGTAATGTTCTACATGTTGGTGTGAAATTTACTTTGAATCAGCATTGTTTTTGGGTTTTTGCTGCTTCTCCTCAAACCAATGTATTTCTTCAGCCAAGCTGGTTAGTCTTATGTTTTTAAATGGAAATCGGTTTTGTTTTGACTTGTTTCCTAGATATCCAAAGCCGAAGTTCGTTTTTTAGCTGAAATAACTGTTGCTCCCGCCTGTGAATAACTGTCCGCATGTTCATTCCTAACTGTCGTTTATGATGTTATCCGTAAAATGAAAGGAAACAGTTCCCGGTTTTTAATTTTCTTCAGTATTGTGGACAACAATATACCACCAGCGAGTCAAACTAATACTTAGTGCCTAGCAGTAGGGGATATCAGTATTGTTTTCGAAAGGACACAGACTTCCGACAATCATAGACGAAGTCACATGCTACCAATTTATTGCAGAGGGTTTGTTATGAAAAATATGCTATATAGCAGTAATGAAGGGGTTGTACGCATTACGTAGTGCGTTAAAGCAAGCTCAACATTGAAAAGCCGGAAATCTGCTATCAGTGTGCAGTGTATGTTTGCTGTTTTGGTCATAAAAAGAAGCCGAAGGGTCATGATCAGGTAGTAAAAAGGTAATTAACCGTTAGTAAGCTCACTTTTCTAATAGATCATTTTTCACCACTCGCAAATTTGTGTTTTTTACGGTATGATGTCAACCCGTCCCTAATATGTTCACCCTTACGATGAAAATTACCTGCAAATTTTCACCTTCATATTCGAATTATTTTTGGACAACTGTCTTCCAGTTTGAGAGCTTCGTACGCCCTGGGAGACTAAATTCCTACATTATTCGTAGTTTCAGTATAACTTTCTCACTCAGTAAGTTCAACGTAGACACTAGTCTTTCTAAATAAGCCTGTTAAGCTAATATCCGTATTCTCTATTTCAGTTAATCGATGAAGACATGTACCGCGTGCATCTGCTGTGTGCTGCCATTTTACTCCAATTCTAACTTATGTCTTACTTCTTGAAAATAAAACTGCTATATGCAGCAAATACAGACTTATTTTAACGTAGGGGGTTCATGGGATTTTCAGCGCGACTGTAGTAATAATATTAATATATATCTGCATGTGCAGGCACACACCGTTTTTACAGGCATGATCTATAAATTACAACATTTGTTGGTTCACAAAATGTTTCCCAACTTATTAAGTTTATAGTTGTTATACAGTGAAATCGTAGAGCGCTTGCTCTAAACTATGACCTTGAGAGGACGCGTACATCAAGTTTGTTCCAAACGTCAGAAGTTTCATAGCTGTGCTCTCAGAGCAAGATTCTGAAGAAAAAGAAAGAGAAACAGAAGAGCAGCAAGGCACTTGGATATGAACGAAAAACGTTGCTTAACATTGTGTAGTAGAACGGACAGAGGTATAATAAATTAGAATAAATTCATATTATGTCTTGTTAGTGAAATGAAGTCGGAGGCTCCATATTAGAGAATGTACTAATAAAGAACAATGAGTTGTGATGTTTAACAAGTTGGAGTAAGCTCACACGAAGGGAAGGAAGTCAAGGCTGGTACAAGGAAAGCGGTTTATAAGAAGGGTGTGTATATAGAGGGTGAAGTGTTAAGAATATTAATGACTACATCTTTTATTGTCTAACTTTTTTTTCTTTTTTTGTTTTTCCGATGCCAGCCACACAATCCTAGTGTAAAAATCCGAGTTAGCATGTTATGGGTTGTCTTAGTAGAATAGCTAATCCAGCATAATATTGGAAACATGAGTTTGAGTGGTGAGCGTAGGAAAACAATCTATATCACAGGTTGATTGAATTATTCTCAGTCATGAGGAGCCTGATACATACAAAATGTTCTGTCCCCACAACCACGGGTGGATTGAAGTTATCGCCCTCACCATCAATGCTTGCTGGTCTGTAACTCCACCCTCCCTCCTTTTGTGCTGTTAGGTTCATTTAGGCTTATTTTTGTATATACATCAATATTCTCACTAAAGAGCTAAGTGAGTGCGTAGACCAATGTAAGGTACCATACAGAGTGCCTTTGAGTTACTCGTGTTCCATTAGTGTCGGTAGAGGCATTACATGCTTATCATATGACATTTGAATACGAAGCTATGAGATTAGACTCAGGTACAGTTAG